AATATGTAACGCCTATATACACAAAGTAATACCTCGTGCAGACTCGCATTAAAGAATAAGCATTTTGATATCGACTGGTAAGTAGTCTTATTCGATCATCGATATTTTTACATTAGCCATGTGTTTGATTTTTACAATATAGCAGTGTAGATAATAATGACAGCAAAAATGAGGAAGGATAAACATGCATTTTTGTGTTTAATATGAAGATATTGAAAAAATTGAGATAGAAAGTGTTACAGAGGCCCCGCTGTAACTTAAATCAATTCACAAAATAGAAATTTATGTTTCTATTTAACCAATCAACAACAAATTTCCTATATTCGATTCCTAATCTGAATTTGAATCTTTTCTTTATTGTTCGTTTTTTTCCTATTTATAGTATACAACCCACACACCCACACACACACACACAAGAGAGAGAGAGAGAAAAAAGGAACAAAGCAAGAAAAGGCATTTGTTTATTCGACTAGACTATTTTGTATATAAAGATGATGATGCATCATTCTATAAATGCACTTTAATTCCAGTCGAAGAAACGATGCCATTATTTATGTCGTCACGCACGAGAGGAAAGAAGACACAATAGAGAGATATGCAGAAAGAGAAAAGAAAGAAAGAATGAAAAAGAGCGGTTGACGTATGTGCATCTCGGGTTGGATTGCACATATAAGAAATACATAACGTATAAAGACGAAACAAGAATGTATAAGAATAGATAAATAAATAACTTGTTAGAGTACTCTCTAACACCTTCGATAGAGTTCATGAAAATGTAACGTACAATACACCCGTTTTAAAGTTGTTCAGTCGTATAAACGCTATGATAAACCTTTTTATTTCGTCTTTTGATGAGTAGATAAAAGGGTTTATCGCATGCTGCTAAACGGTAGAAAACGGTATATCATACGCTGCATATTCATAAACACTTTCAACGTTTATCATTCGACGTTTTTTTTGTCAGTGAATTGGGTACTTGAACCTTATGTACTAGATCGGATTATAGGAGATATAGAGTTTTCTGTACTTCCACGTTCATATGGTAAGGATAGTGTTCTTTGTGAGATTAGTTCAAGTTGCTCAATGTCGACTGGTATAGATGGATGAATTGTTGTTGGTTTTCGAGTGGGATGCTATTCAATCGAAACTCTTCTTCAATCTACTCGCGAATGTCTCTATAATGTAGCATGCATCGACCAAATCAAGCCAATTATTTCTACGTCGGATATAGCCTTTCGTGCTCTTGATTCAACGCTCTCATCTCCAGATGTTAAGGTTCAATCTTTAATCGATAATCTTCTAATTGAACAGTGGGAGGCACATATGACTTATGATTATTATTATACAGCGTGTGCTCCTCTTACATGCACTTTTTCAATTAACACGAGATACGATAGCATATGTGCTCACAACTATTCTATAGGTATTTCTGGAGGATTGACTGTTGTATTGAAACTTGCCGTGCCCATTTTAGTCAAGGTTGAATGACAGATTTCATTCTACCTTCGAAGGCGTATTCAACCGATAGTCATCATAGTCGCAGAAACGATCTCAAACGCTAGCTTTTGACGTTACTTATAAAACAAAAAATAATTGTCGTTTCGTATCATGATTTGAACATATTCTATTAAGTTCCTTTCTGTCATCAGAATGGATGATGCTAATAAAAACCTAATTACAAGCCAAAATGAAATGAAAAGTGAAAACCCTGTATGTGCAAGTTAGTTAGATCCAAATTAATTTGACTTTATCACTCTCTCGTCGTATATAGTTTAATATTGCTTGACTAGCACTTTACGTAATTACTTGTCGGAACGTTAGAAATAACAGAATAACACAAGAATAAAAATAAGAGAATGCTTGAAACATTAAGAGACGTTCCATGCAAAACCAGAGAATTCGAAAAAAATGGGAGTCAACCGGTTTCAGATTTGATCTTGAGGGTATGGGCATGGATTTAAGGGGGTGGGGGGGGGTCGTGACTCTCACTTTTTTTGATTCAATGGGTTCATTTTATTGAGCACATTTTTTTACGTAGATCCTCCAATTTTCATCTTTACTGGACATTCCCAGTCCAAGTTATAGACACCACAAGACAAATTTTTGGACTAAAACTTTGCCTCTGGGTGTATCTAGTTTTTGATTGGTTCCCGGCATTAAGTAAAATGACAACTAAACTTTTTATATATGAATCGATAGAGAATTCCTTTCTCTATCTGATGTGATATCTGTGCCGATATTGATGACACGCTTCGATGATTCTTCTTCCTCCTCCTTCAGTTCTCTTTCCATTGTTGTAATGTATCTCGCTCGTGTCTCTCTCCTATCTCTCTCCTACATAGGGTGAATGTGCTATGTATGAAGTTGTTACACTCTGGATATGTGAACAAGCTAATAAACACCATTGCCAAGAGCGGTGGTAAGCTACTCCACCTCCATCCAGCTTGTCTTAATACATCAACTAGGAAGGGCCATATTTATCGTTACACCCACACCCTAAATTTTTGATAGAGAACTTGCTAGAGTAATCAACGGCATAGGTACTTCAAGCTTTTCTATGCATTCCTTTTTCTTCTAATACTTTTAAATCTAATGAATTTATTAAAGTAAAAATACTTACAACAATCAAATTTTTGTCGAGTTAAGGAATATTTCTCACTTTGTTGCTGTGTTTTGAGTGGTGTATATTTAACTTTTAAGAAGAACCGGCAAATATTGTTACCGATATAATCATTAAAGAAGATTATTCAAAATCAGACATGCTGTTCGATTGAAGCAAATATTCTCAAGGGTTAAATATTTCAGTAAGCTAATGATTTTGAAATGAAAATTTGCTCATTTCATCCAATTGTGCTAGAGACATTCAATTACGCTTTTTTTTCTAAATGTCTTCTGTAGTACAGTATAACTTATGATCTATGTACATACATATCACTAAAATTCTTCGTTTTATTTTTTTTATTTTCATTTACTGTTATACACCCACACTCTACTTACTACCTGTGGATTTTTTTTTTTTTAATTACGCTGAATTTTATTCGTGACATCCATACATTTTTTTGTGATTTTTGTACAATTTTTTGCGGACGCTTACGAAACAAGTCAACAGATAGGACTACGATAACAAACAGAGAAAGAATGACAAGGAAGAGAAAACGAATAGAACGAAAATCGAAATCGAGGCAGTGATGACGCGGTTGGCGTGCATTGCTGTTCTTCCTTTTGTTTATTCTTCCGATACCGTATATCTTGACTCCGAAGACACCGAGCCGGGGGAAGGAATCGAACCATCTCCTATCTGACTAAGAGTCAGATGCATAGAACCACTACGCCATCCCCGGCTTACTACCTGTGGATTCAATTGATAACGTACGAACAAAATGGACGCGTAATTTTTTTCTGTTAAAAAGAAAATATAATAACTAATGCATGCATCCATTTTTCTTCTTGTATTAATATCTTGTCTGATTTTTATATAGTAAAATACTGCAACCAGATGATAATGATTCATACTGAACTTATTATTCATTAATTTACGCACTCTATGATGTTCTATTGAATTGTGTGCAGTATATATGTCAAGCAGTGTTATAGAGAAACCCAAAATCCATGTACAGAAAAGAACGGAGCAATTATAATGATACGGAAAATAGAAAAAAAGAGAAAGCCCAAAACAGAATAACGTAGGTTTCGGAACAATGCTTTATTTATTACCGTTTCATTTGCATCAATATCTTCAATAGCCATGAGTTTACTATGATTCTCTATCATCGTATGAATATATAAGATATTATTCTCATAAATTTTCTCTGATTTCTTTCAGTTTTGCAAATCAAACTTAAAAGGTTCTCTTGAAAACTAGCAGATGTTTTTTTCTGATTTACAATAATTATAAAAACAAAAAGAAAACATTCGTCCACAGCTGTCTGTTCCCATAGCTCAATATGTAAAAAATACGGCGGCCATGTTTTTTTTTTGTGTAGACTTCCTTTTTAGCCGATGGTTATCACTTGATTTATAAGACCTTGTAACGTTTGAGTACGTTCACATTATGCACCACTTCAAGCGTATATTTAATTCGCATGATACTTTTTTCTACTTGCTTTAGCGAACTATTTTTTCTTACTCTCATTGCAAGGTCATTGAATGAAATTCTTAAATAAAGGTCATCGCTTTTCTCTTTTACACTGGTTTGAATGTGATCAATTGTGGCAAGTCGGCATGTATATTTGTTATCTATTTAAAAAAATGATTCTATATTGTATGCCTGCATGCAGTTAACAATTTTTTTCTTCTTGCATGCATTTGAGTGACTTGCTTCCCTGGCTCTTTTCGATCGGTAGAAAATAGTGTGTGGTTTAAACGCGCCTTTATACATCGTTCCTTTGTCGATACTAGTTAAATAAGAAGGAATGAGAACAGAAGAAAAAAAAGAAAAATTTGAATATTTTCTATCAAGAAAACTAAAGTAACAGCATTGATGGAAAAAAAAACATGCACATAAGAACAATAATAATAGAAAAGTTCATGCTTGGTTTGTTTGTTTGGTTATTTGTTCTGTATAAAAAATATATTTTAGATTTTGTTTTCAACAAGTCAAAACTGTTGCGGCAAGTCACATACGGACGGAAAAAAATTATTTATTTTGTATTACATTATGTTCTTGGTCGGAATCAATATTGACTGGAATATTACTATTAGTGATCGCTTTTCTATAAAAAAAAAAAAAGATCTGAAGAATAATTTATGACTAATTCAATAATAAGTATTATTTAACATCCCACTCTTTTTTGCAGTGATTTCTCCTCGTTTAAACTTTCTTTTCTTTTCATACTAGACCAATCTTTTTCTAATTTACATTGATTTAATTTTCTTCCGTGCACTTGTGTGATAACTAGACTTTATTTTATCTTTTATTGTCATTATTAGGCGTTTAGCGTGACTAATATTTTGTTTTTAGCTTGATTATTTTCTGTTACAAAAGAAAAATTCGATTCATAATGTATTTTTATCGCTATTTTTTCCACATACTTTTTCTAAGCTCAATCATATCAACAATTGAAACATTTTCAATTGCAAGTACTCATAATGATATTAATCAGGTAGGAGAAAAATTTTTTTTTTTAGACAGAAAAAAACACCAAATATTTTCTTTAAGGTATCTCGACAGCTAGTTCAAGTCAAAGCAGTTAATAAAAGCAGTCGACAACCAAATGCAAAATTTCGTAAAAAGACCTATTTATTGACGATGCTTCCAGTAGCAAAAGGTGATCATATATACAACAGTGCTGGCGAACAAGAATGGGAAATAAAAAGAGAAACAGATACGCAATTTGCCATGTATGGTATGCGAAAGAATATTTACAAATAGCTGAATTTCGAAAATTTCTTTGACTATTTTTCACATGTTTGAAATTTCGCTTGGAATATCTATCAATACGCATGAGTTATTTTTACCGAGGAAACTAATTGACATAATTCTTTCCATAGTAACTATATTAAGAACGTAAAGAAAAAGGAGAAGTCTGACTTACTTTTAGAACATATTGATAGGGCTTTGAATTTTCTTTTTTTGGTAGGTGAAAATCTTAATGGTGCTCAACTATCGTTTACAACGCATCCCAAATCATGCACATGGGAACGTAAAAGCACAGTCTATACATTGCAAACTGATGCATCTGATCCACATGAACATATGATTGAACGTGCTTTTGTTAATTTTAATTTACCCTATTATAATTCAACTTTATATATGTGTGTAACACCAAATAATTCTACCGAAGTATTTCATCAAGGAAATCGGTATAACAAAAACGATTTTTTTTTAATTGTTACTTTCTATTTTGTTTTTAAAGAGCTGCATTAAAGATTCGAGTTACTCGTCGAGCTATACCTGTTTGGACAACCATAATTTGCTTAATTTGTCTTCTTTCGTTATCCGGTCTTTTTTCTGGTTTAAATCTTGGTCTAATGTCATTAACGCCGCATGACTTAATTGTGATACAAGAAGCTGGTACAACAAATGATCGTAAATATGCCAAAAAAATCTATCCCGTACGTAAACATGGCAACTTTTTATTGTGCACCATTTTATTGGGAAATGTTTTGGTCAATTCAACTACAACTATTCTACTTGATACATTAATTAGCGGCGGTTTAGCTGTAGCCGGTGCAACGTTAGCCATTGTTATTTTTGGTGAAATTATTCCACAAGCTGTATGTTCACGACATGGACTTAAAGTTGGTTCACAAACAATTCGTTTAACACAACTTTTTATGTTTGTCACATTTCCAGTATCTTTTCCATTGAGTAAATTGCTCGATATAACTTTAGGTAAAGCATCTTTGCATAGATTTATTCTTTGATGTTAAAGTAATTCTATAGTAAATATTTTAAGAAAAATCCTTGAAATGAAATACTACGATGTATTGTTCTATTTCGAAAGATTTCCGTTTAGTAAGATTTATTGATAATTCGAATTTTTCATTTCATTGGTAAATCATCTATGGAAAATTTTCTAATTAAATTGTCATCGACACTAGAGATTGATAATTGTCTTTAAAATTATATTTATATTTTCAACTTTTTTAATTTAAGGCGAAGAAGTTGGCGCACGTTATACACGCGATCAAATGAGTGCTCTATTAAAACATACACAAACAACTGATATTGAAGATCGTGAAAAAGTTATGATGACCGGTGTACTAAGTTTGAAAGGAAAAAAAATTCGTGATATAATGACAAATTTAATTGACGTTTTTATGCTTGAGGCAAATCATATTGTTGATGATGAACTTGTTTTAAATATTCATGGTTATGGATATTCAAGAATACCTGTTTATGAAGGACGACGGTTTGTTTTGAGAATTTTTTATTAAGAAAATGTTTCTTAGAATCTCTGTTTGATATATTCTCTATAGGGATAATATAATTGGCCTGGTCAATATACGTGATTTTGCATTACTTGATACTGAATCAGGAAAATTTACTGTAAGAAACATAATGAACTTCTACAAACATCGTCATGGTACAGCTATAACACCAGATGATTCAAGTTATGACGTATTTAATCTATTTAAAAAGGGTAAGAATAAAATAAATAAATATATTTATCGTGATTTTTTTTAAAATTTTTGTTTAGAACAATATCATTTAGGTGTTGTAGTTGAATATGATAATACGAGTGAAAAAGATCCAAAAGAAAAAGCTGTTGGTATTGTTACACTAGAAGATATTATTGAAGAAATGATTCAAGAAGAAATTATTGATGAAACTGACGTATTTAGTAAGTAGAAAGCGAAGAGAAAGAATAATAATAAAATGCCTATATTTTTCTTCAGCTGATAATCGTCGTAAAGTGCGAAATATGCTTTCGCAAGCACCGAATTTTTCAGCATTTATTCGAACAACAACAAATGCAGTTGCAAGTAAAATATCAGCACAAATGAAGGTAGCTGTTTTTCAATTTCTTTCAATAAGTAAAATCGTTTTTTATTTAATAATAAAATAGTGATTTTTTTCTTTTCTGTTTTATTTAGGTGTTGAACCTTTTCATGATAGATTTATATCTGCTCATATATTCAGTCGGTTACTAAATGTTGATCTATATAAAGAATTTGAATTCGATGAAGATGATGCTAAAGCTGGAAAAGTCACATATATTTATGAGTATGGTAAACCAGCAGATTATTTTGTACTTATTGTTAATGGCAAAGCAGAATTGGAAACAGGAAAAGAAAAAATTGTTAGTGAAGTCGGTTCATTTTCTTATTTTGGTGTTAGTGCGCTTTATGTAAGATTTCAATATTCTTTTTTTGTCCAAAATTCTGAAAAGAAAATCTTGCTTTGCAGAATTCCGACGAAAAGGTTGACGATCTTATTCGATTAAAATCAAATAAATTTCGCCCATTTATACCTGATTTTAGTGTACGTGTTAGTGAAGATGTACAAATTTTACGTATACGTCGTGTGCATTGGCTAGCTGCTGTACGAGCAACTTACTTTGAAAATAAACAAACTGCCAATGGAGGTACGCTGATGCTTGATTCTGATGGCGAACAAATCGATTTATTAACACAAGAACTAGAAATGGCTGATCATGTTGATGCAATTACTGCTACTGGGCAAGATGGTACCAACGGAGAAGGAAATGCACTACGTGACAGACAATCATCATTTGCACCAACAATAACATCCGATAGAGGAACGACGGCAATGACAGAGCAAGAAAAATTAGTAGCTCGAAACCAAGCAACGTCTAGTGTGTCCAGTACAGCTAGTACATCAGGTCGAAATACACCAACATTAACAGCAAAACAAAAACGACAACTATTTGATTCGGAACCGTTAACAGAACCACCATCATTAACAGGTGGAAATGTATCATCGAAAAATCGTTCGTTAACTTAGTATTTTTAAAAATGTGCACCTGTATATATATATATATATATATAGAACGGGTGTCTAGAATGCAGTTCTATTTGTTTTTGTTATTTTTGCTTTTCTTATAGAAACAGTTGTGCCTGTTTTTGTTGTTTTTTCCAGTTAATTTTTTTTTGGTTATTGGATACGATCTATGATGAAAAATCGTTTTTTTTTGTTTTTCTTATTCATCGATTTTATAATTCTATTTAGTTCAAAATTTTCTAACTCGTAGACAACTACTCTCAAACAGTCGTTTTAAAATGTTTACTGCTTTGATTTTTCGAAAAAAATAATCACTTTTACATGAACCCTTTTGTCAAAATAAATACACTGAAACGGACATGCATTAGATTGATATCGCCAACATGACATTGAAAGGCAACGATGGTGAATTTATTTATTTATTCATCAAGGAATACTGCCTCTGGAATAATTGAGAACTGATTTGAATGATTTATATCGTAGTGAAGGTGTTGAAATGTTCTTAAATGTGTGGGTCTGACGATGATTAAGAAAAGAGTACATCCACATCCTACAGATAAATCGCATAAAGTGTTTTTATTCTTGTTTATTGAAAATAATCTTTTTAATGTCATCAAAATGTACTAAAACGAGTATAATGATTTTGAAATATCTTTTCTTTGATATTGCTAATGATCTTCTAGAAAAATCTTCATTCTATTTTGATTAGCTATTGTTGTTCGTTAGGACCATTCTTCCAGTGATCACAGTAACATGAAATGAATAAAAACGGCCTTCTGCTTCATCATTTTTAGTACGCTTTCTATATTGGGAGATTCAAAAAGTCTGATAGAGAAATTTTATGAGTCGCCTCATGATTAAATGGTTCTTACCCAAGTGAACACGATGACGCTTGATGGACGTTATTTCTCTATTGCGCATCCCATATTCATACAAATTATATGCTTGTGTGAGTCTATGGGCTTGATTTACCCGACGATAAAAATATTTAACGCATAAAAAATGCATCTTTTTATTTTGCAGGAATATACATGCATTCAAGCTTGAACAAACGCAAGAAAGACAAGCAAAAATGGCTGATATGAATATATCTGAATATTGGCTACCGCAGCCATTTTCGTTTTGGTTTACTTGTTATTCGAAATTACATCAGTCGTATAGAAGTAAGTTTTCCGAAAAAAGACACCTAGCTCACTTGTTTGTTTCGTCCCCTTAATTACAAAAATTATAGACAACTTGATTGAAATGGAGCGCATAACAAACCATACTTCGCTTAGTAGTATAGAAACAGACAGGTGCACATTACGACAGGCTCGACAACAGTGAGACTTCTTTTCTATTACTATATTTATGCATGGTGTCTACTAGTGTTTGTTCATTAGATCATATTGCCAAAGAAATTCAACGGGAACGTCATATCAACACTTTTGGGTTACCTGTGCATTAACAGTTATCATCGTTGCGAGTCTCTTTACACCAGCGAGTTGTTATGGATATGAACGTGAACAGGGACATACACATTGGAAGGATCACTTTAGAACCAAGGAAAGGAAGAGAACTGCTATCCATTGAATCAGATGCATATGTTTTATATGGCAGAAACATGGCAATCAAGGATTTCGGAAGTATCGTCGTCTATAGAGTCAGTCAAAGATATTTTTACGGCGTTTCACAACAGTGCCATACGATTAATTCATATTGAGATTCATTGAGTTGAGTGTGACAAAAACTACACCTCTAATTCATTTTGTTTTTGAATTGGGAGCTCGCTCCGTTTACTTAGTAGTATAAAGTATGATCGCTTGATGTCTCACTCTGGTGAGCTTAATATTACCCTTTAAACTTTCTGAGCAGTCGAAGTCTGATCTAGACGATGTTCAATAAGTGTCTCATGAAAGAATAAACGTTAATTCTATTCTACACATGTTGTGTAAATTTCAATAACTCATTTAGTTCCACGAACCACTACGACCCCTCCTAGTCAACTGGACTCACCTCTCGTACATGAACTCTACGACCCATTGATACATAATGGAGTAACTGCAGTGTCCACATCACCTATACTATATAACATGGGCGGTGGTGTATTAACTGGCGCTACCAAAATCTATATTCTAGTGAGTATCTTCATGTTATTTGTTTAATATTTATTCAGCTACACCATTATACTTGCAGTATTACGGTAGTTGGAATGCTAATCAAAAAACTATTGCCGAAACATTCCTTTCGCATGTGGGAACTACATCGTGGTTCAACATTGAAAAGACCTACTACTATCGAGCTTCATCCATAAGTCCTAAAGTATACATAAAAGGTCCGGTAAGCATCGGAAGTAGATGGGTAGAGAGCTACAGTGCAGGAACCAACCTTAATAGTACAAGTGTAGCCAATATAATTTACACACGTATAGAAAAATGGGCAAGTGCCAAATGATTCGCAGGGCCTCTACTTGCTTCTCAGTTCTTCAGATGTCAGCGAAGGCAGTGCAGAAGCTGGTGGAACTTTCTGTGTCAACTACTGTGAATATCATTTAAACTTCTATGTCGACAATGTAGCATACGTTCTTGGATTTATTGGAAATCTGCAAAAGTGCATAAATGGTTCCGGCTCCACCAACCCGACTAATTCACCTAACGGTGACGCTGGTGTTGACGCCATGGTCAGCGTAATCGCACATGAATTAGTGGACACTATGTCGGATCCATTTGGGAGTGCATGGTTTGGTGCGACTGGTAACGAAAATGCCGATAAGTGGTAAGTAAACAAGTAAAGTACTATCGATGAGATATCGAATAAATTTTTCTAATACTTCAATTTCGTGACAAATTCAGTTAAAGAAGTTTTTTGTAACAGATCTGATCAGATGATTTATTTAACGAATAGTGTGTCTATATCTGACTATGTTGACCCATTACTGAGTTTTGCATTAGTACTTGAATAACTACTAATTAACGAGTAATCATTAATCAATCAAAGCATTGATTATAATCGGGATAAGTTCAAAATGCAGGAATTGATGTGAATCTATGTTATCAAGTGGTTGGTAATGAATACCAGTATCAACATATTTGTATTTAATATCCATCTAAGGACATCCACACTGGAAAGGAAATATCCACGCGATATGAAAGCGAGTTGGATCCTAAGCCCACGAAGAATCTTCATTGTGCCGGCGTCTATAGTTGCGAATTTCAGAGTACTAGAGCACGTATGTCAGCTTTTTTTCTTTTCCATTCAGATTCTATTCTTCGGCATAGTGTAAAATATTCCTCTTTAGCCACTTTAATTCTTGCCTGTGCTTCCACTGAAAATAGAGTTTTTCGCTTGTACCGCCAATACCTAATGAATGACATAATTATTTTCATAATTCTAGTGCCTGGGCGTTTGGATCTCTTACTCGGCTCTCAAACGGTCCTTCTTGCAGTGTACTGGTTGGCGGACGTTATTATCTAATTCAACAAAATTGGAACGCAAATACTCAAACTTGTGCTATGGCCGCCTAATTTATTTCTTTGGATTCAACCTAACATAAAAGAACTGTTCTTATTTCAACTAACCTGTTCTCTTAACATCTAATCCATTTTATTTTGAAAGCAATCAATCATATACCACCTACCAGCGGTTTTCTCTTTCTTTGTTGCACAAATTTGCAGTCACTTATTTTCATCATACCGAAAGTATATATTCTATAAATCCACTTCTAAAAAAGTCTACTTTAATTATATTTATTTCTTACAAAAGAACGGTACCTAACGAATCAATCTAATTGGATCTCGTGAAATCAGTGCTATGGAATTCCAAACGCATCTGGCAGTCAGATTTTGAAAGTGTCGGTGTGAATATGACTATGATTAAGATAATACGCCCACACCTTTAGTTACCTTTATGTAAGGACGTTTCTTTTGTCAATCAATACAAGTATATTAAGAAAAAGAATATTAGTGTCATAGGAAAAACAGAGCTGTGTGCCTCATAATAATAACATTTAGAATATTTATCGAAGGGAAGTTGCTGATAAAGATATATGGAATAGAACAAAGCACATATTTACGATATGATTGAATGTATTGTTATGTTTTGCATAATTATGGAAAATACAAAACATAAAAATAACGACATATAATGATAACCAAACTGATGCTCACTACAATATTGTATGCATCAACTCCGTTGGGATCACAACAAAGAAGCCCCACTATACGTGTTCTTTGATTAAATATCCTAAATATATATTTGGCAAAAACAATTAAATATCATGGATATTCAAATTTCCAAAATAAACAGTTAGTTCCCCATATAACTGTATGGCAATGCTTCTTTAACACCTTTGTAACCGTCTTGCTTCTATATCACTATCAGGCAAAACCTGAGGATCAATTATGTATAGTCAACAGATTTCAAATATTAATACATAAAGGCGAAATTCAGCGCTTCAATTAATGCACATGAAAGATATGTGTAACATTTGTCTTCTTCGAAACGTAATAGATTTGTTGTTGAAATATACTATCTCGCATCATCAACTTTTTAGTAAATTTTATTGTCAAAATTAACAGATGTCTCTCAACGCTTGTCAACTGACACCTATTGTTTTACCAAAGAAGTTTTCATTCGTTCGTTCTGCTTTCAACTGCTGTGACACACGGTTTGTTTGCTTTGGGTTTCTTGTGTATCGGGAAGAAGAATAGAAGAGCAAAACAGAAAGAATTTTAGTTTCTTCGGCAAAACCCGATTGAAAAATACTGTCACATAACGTTTTTCTTCGTAGAGTACACCAATAAACTGCTGAAATTCTAATCAACTGAATCATTACTTGATAAAAAAATTTCCCAGTGGTAAACTTGATTTTTCTCTTTTCTTTTCTATGGACAATATCTAATTATATTATATAGACTCTATGGAATCAACATCATCATATTTATTTCAATTTTTACAATCAATTTGTTTATTATATTGATTGAAAAAAGTCACACGATAAGATATTCACGCATACATTTGGTTTTTTCTACTTTTTGTTTCTTCCATTGACCTCGTCTACTTCCGATTGATGATCAAATGGTGAAACGCCCTCCGAAGCGAAAAAACGTAAAATGTGTGCATTTTATGGTGTTTCTTTTTGTGTCAACAAAATCGGAAGAATGTAGTATGCCGATCGATTAAATATAAAAATAGTAATAAATGAAAATTAAATTTGAAGCAGAAGAAAAAATGGTTTGCAATGTTAAGAACTAACTTTTTTTCTTAGAGTGATCTTTTGCGATAGAATTACAACTTAAATGTTAAAGATACAATCAATCTATTGTTTTCTAAGAGCATGCGCATAGTATAACTTATTTAGAATACATTTTTCTAGATTAAACTTTCAATTCATTTTGATAGAATTATGGCATCATCATTACGTGACGACTTCAATGAAATTCATTATAGACAAGGTTCATGTGCTATTATTTTAAAACCAGGGGATCTCTTAAATGAAAACAATGTTGATGCTCTTGTCATTCCAACGCCAAGTGCAATTGAGCTAGACCCGAACAGTTTTGTACTGTTCCAATCTATGTACTCTAAAGCAAATCAATATGAAAAAAGAGAAATTGAAAAAATTCGGTCTTATGTAACGCTTAATCAACCAGAATTTTTTTCGAAAAATCCCCCTGGATATATTTTTGCGGTGCCACCCTACGTAGGCAATGCTAAGAAAGCTTGCAAACTTTTAAAGGAAACATACAAGTCATGCCTCGATTTAGCAATTAAGAGTAACTGTCGAAAAATTGCTTTTCCTACAATTGGCTGTGGTATCATTGGATTTGAATTAGCCGATGCAACTCATTGTGTTTATTCGGTTTTAGAAAATTTTTGTGAATCAAAAAAAAGCAAAAACATGGATGAAATTAGAATAGTTATTTTCAATCAAAAGATATATAAAGAATTCACTGAATTTTTCAAGAGCTATGGTCAAAAAAAGAAAGTTAAATTCAATGATGTGCCTATGTATGAACTTGTATTTAATATGCTGCACTCTTTTCCCTGTTTTGCTGCTAATTCATTCTATTCGGATTACTTTACTCTAGATCTTATTTTATCTCTTGTTCTAGATCAAGAGAAAATCCAAATCTATCTGAAATGCTACACGGAAACAATAGGCGCCAACCGTCGCCACAAATAGATTCGCGTGCAGCAGATACAGCAAAGTAACGTGCACCAGAAAATAGAATTGAATTTGATATAGAAAAATCCAAAATAGATAAAAAATAAAATATTTTGGCAGTAGTTCAGATATGCTTGAAGAGTAAATTAACAGAGCGCGTTGGGTTACAAAAAGCAAAGGTGTTGATATGACTTGATGGTTATTACCTTAAAAATAAAAATGACAGATTTTAGCATGTAGTATTTGTGTTCTAAAACTTTACATGAAATTTATCTTTTCCTTGTAGCCGTCGGGATGATCATGATGATGATATGGATGAACGTAATCGCAGAGATGCGAGAAGAAAACAAGCGTCGGAACTTAATCCGTGAGAAAGACATAAGTATTTATCAGAAAGTAATTATTCAAGCTATTTTACATTTAGAAATAGTCCCGAATTCCAGCCCAGTAGTAGTAACAAACGTCGTGCTCTGCGTGAATTTCTAATAAACGACAATAGAACACAGCTGATTATAACACAAGGAGATATTTTAACTACAAAAGTAGATGCTATTGTCAATGGTTTGTTGGCTGTTTTTCCAAGAAAGCTATCATCGTTTCATTTGTTTTGATCTAGCTGCTAACGAAAGCATGTTGGGCGGAGGTGGTGTTGATGGTGTCATTCATAAAGCTGCTGGTGACGGTCTCTACAAAGCGTGTCAAGCTCACAAAGAGATCTATCCATATGTTCGTTTACCAACTGGTCATTCGCGCATTTTGCTTAGTTATAATTTGAAGAAAACAACCCACTATATTATTAATACAGCCGGACCCTCCTATGACGATTTTCCACCAGCTGAATGCCAAAAGCATTTGACTTCTTGCTATGAAACATCACTTGCCCTTGCTAATTTATACGATCTTGAAACAATCGCTTTTACGGCCATCAGCTGCGGTATATTCGGTTATGTGAGTGTACATTCTTACTAAGTAACTATAATTCATAGTACGTTATACAGCCAGTAGATGAAGGTGCTGAAGTTGCACTCACAGCAGCTAATAGTAAAGCTGGTTCCTTGAGTAAAATTTGGTTTGTATTAAAAGATGATCACATTTATGATGCATGGATTAAGGCAGCTAAAAAATTCAAGTACATTGCCCTGGATGGCAATGGTGATGATGATAGTGACGAAAAAACGACAACTGCATCTACACATCCAACTGCAAAAGAACACGACACAACTAAAAAGCCAAATACAGAAAAAGAATCTGGAAGAGGAAAAAAATCACCTGACTTGAAAATTATCGATGGCTCGACACCCGATGATGTGAAAAAAACGGCTCTATCTAGTCGCGAAAATTCCAGTAAAAAATCATCCACAGATCAAGACGCTACAAAAACACATAAAAATTCAAAGGATGCTGCAGATCATGACAGCTCAACAAATGAAAATAATGAGACGTCGAAAGAAAAAAGGTATGGTATAGTAGTAGTACGGCAGAATGAAATATATATTCGCGATAGTTTTCGTGAGAAATACTTATCAATTGAATGCATTCGAAGATGAAAACTATTACGAATAAGCTGTCATTCTGCCGTATTCCGCTGTTGGAAAATGGCGAGAACAGTAACCAGCTTTTATTACAGTTCGTGGTGTAATCTTCTATAATTTTAGCCAACAAACGAACAACAACAAGAGTAACGAAGAGCAGGCAACATCGAATAACCCTCCTCCAGCGCAAAAGGATCAGCAAGACCAAAGTCAAGCAACTTCAAATGAAAACAACAACACAGAAAAAAAATCTGGAAAAAAAATTAAAAATAAATCGTAGAAATGTGATATGATTTTAATACTAATATTATTTTCCTCAGCTTATAACAGTATTTTTATTAATTTATTATAATCATGATTATTTTATAATTTCCTTTTTGTATAAACCAAAAAGAGCAAATGAATCTTTTTTTTTCTGTCGACTCTAATCACCAATCAAAAAATATAAAATCTCACTTTCATGACGACAAAAATGAAAGAATTCCGCTAGGAAATAAAGGCTATCTTGATCAAATCTTATTCTAAGATTGAAATTGTTGACCAGCGACACAACCATCTTTTCATTCTTATCTGTGCCTCTCGCCTTTATTACTCGAACGTTTGCTATTAGAACATATTTATTGACTCAAGTCTTTATTAGTTTGCTGATCATAAATACAATTTTCCTGCTATTATTCATCTGTTCACATTATTCTAATCATCAACCGTGTGTTGTCAATGTACTGTATGAACAATATAAGAAAGGAACTTATGATTAATGTATGCTTGTAAGGTGTTAAGTGTACGTCATTTGCCTTGCTTGCACAACAATCGTTCAAAATATGAAAGCGTGCATGTGATCTCACAAAGTTGAATTAAGAGTTGACTATCATTAATTTTTTTCCTATGACAAGGTGTAAGACACTTTAAAACATGCAATAAGACGAGACAAGAAAAATGACGAACATGACTAAAAGAATATTAAAAAGAGTCTTTACATGATGAGATCACTTAGTTGCTGCCCAGACAGTTGTTTGTCGGCCCCATCATATACAAGTAATTTGTATGGCACTTTGTTCGTTTTTTCTCTCTTCTCTTTTTCTTTTCCATCTCCTTCATTACGATGGCTATCATCGTTCTCTCTCTCTCTCTCTCACTCTTTTCTTCTAACATAGAGCAGAAATAAAGGTTGTCGTCGTCCTCATTCTTTTTAGTTGTACAGAAGAAAACGCTGCGCTTATTTTCTTCCTGTACGGAAGACTTGTGCTTCTAATTTGACTACTATTGAATCAACAATCAACAATAAACTTTAATCATTTTTATTATGTGATGGCACATCGATGAAAGTACTTGGTAGATTTTTATTTGTCAATATTATTTTATTGTTACAAACTGATTCAGGTAATATTCTTTTGTTTCTCCTTTCTCACATTATGCATGTAGAATAACTATAATCATCATCATCATTTGAAAGATTGAGGTGCGAGCGATTTGTCAAAATAGATTAATGATTTGTTTAGACTGACATATTCGATGAGCATGCACATCAATATATCTATATATGCATAGCAGCTGCCTAACGAATCAACAAAGATGTATTTATATGTTCGATTGTCGATTGAATTTATATTAATAATGTGCACCGTGTCATGTGAATCATTGTCCATCTGTTCTAAACTTTTATTTCCTAAGTTCTACTACAGTCATTAATCTTTATTTTTAATTAAATTGACTAAACCACGTGATCTATTCAATGAGTAATTTCCTATTGATTGCTCCTTAACTTTATTTTCTTTTTATTATTTATTTACTGAGCAGATGTTAGAATAAAGAATGAGAAGAATTCATTGTTACATTCTTTTCTTCTAATGACCGACAGTAGTAGATCCTGTCCTTGAGCGCTTCGGGAATATATACATTTCCAGTTCACACATAAAACTCCGATGTACCATTGTCACTGTCTCGATTCGAATAAAAATCAGCAATAGGTGATTTACGATAATCTCGAATGATTGAATATGCTGTGTGTTTATTGTCGTGTTTATGCATTTTTATTCTTGATAATACTTTCTATTCGATGATGCAATTCTATTATCATGGACTTATCATATCATAATGACAGCAGATATGGTGTAAAGTCATTTTCTATTTGCTTTGTTTCGTCCAGCCTACGAGACAATGAGAAAGAGAGTCATTGGAATTCTTTTTTAAGAACTATAAGACTTCATTTATATATGCGTTTGAATAATAGAGAACACACGTCTGTATAATACCTAACAACAGATGACAGCTTTCTGCCAAGTGTCATATTAATCAAAGTTCAAATATTCACATATGAATAGCGATTTCACTATTCGAACAAAGACAATATACATGGTGTAATAGCATTGAATGTTTTTACATCACTAAAGAAAAACATGAATTAATCAATGAGATATTCATGTAACCTTCGAAGTGCTTGATAGCTATCTTGTTCTTTTATCTGTAGCTTGGTCGTTGTGCAAAATGCCTACGGCATGGCTAGGTTCATGGTATCAACGTGGAATGAACTCATTATTGGAGATAACAGCCGATCATATCAAGACTAAAGGATTATGCATAGATGCTCTGCCATCACAACAATATTACTCTTTTAGTGATCGGTAAGTATAAAGTGTAGTAGCACGATTAGAATCATCATTCGAACATGTGTTCATTACATCGGAGAATAAAAGAAGACATTTCCATTATCAGTGAACTGTAATAATGATTTCTTTTTCTTTCTCTTAAACAGATTGAATCGTTGTACTCGATGTTTAGTATTCATTCAACGACATATCAATTTACTTCAGTATCGTGAAAGTAAATTTTCAAAGGGAATACAACGCAATCGAATTCCTATAACTTCTTATTTGTAGGTGAATGCATTGATGCAGATGATCTCTCGAGCATTACCTCATGTCCGAATATGATTGCGCCCGATGCTGTGTTGTACACACTTCATCGAAGTGAGTATAATGATTAGTTTTGTTGTTTCAACATTAAGTGTAGAAATGAGGTCAAACGGCTGTGCGCACAAACGAATGATAGAACTCTTCGGAAATCATGTATACGAGATTTAATTATTCTCATGAGATAGTGAGAGAACGAAAAAAAGCGACGGCGCTTTATGTCTTATTGTAGAAGATCAAAAATATGATTCTTCTATGTTTGTAAATAGTCTCAGCAGGGATCTACTTAAATAGATGTTCGTTTTATTGGCAACGAGATGATTCTTTTTAATGGCAAGAAAAAAAATGATTTTTCCATTTTACACGAGTTAGATCGAGCTGACCATATACTGATTTTGCTGTGAAAATGAAGACCTATGTGTTTGTATTTGACATGCAATAGGTTCCTTCTGAAATTCACTGGTCGAGAAATAAAACTAAATCATTTCTTTCCATACAATTTGCGAATATTTCTAATCGCGAGAAAATAACCATGCTTGTTATTTTGATTGAAACACATGTCGATTTCTTGTATTATTTTACTAATTTAGACGATTCCAAGCCACAATCTTGTCCTATTCAGCCACCATTTCTTTTTACATATTTAATAAAAGACAGTTCAGTTTGTAATCAATCCATTTCATCATCGTACATTAATGAATGTGCGAATGATTATCAGTTTCATCTTCATCTTGCTCCGTGTGCATCAAATCAACCAACTTTTGGTAAATAAAAACGGCCATGAGTTTTTATTTTTTTAAATTTATACTGTTTTAGATCTTCAGTTTACCTGTGTTGGAACATGGGTAGAAGATTTTCATACTTACTTCGTTACTCGAATTATCTCTAAACGGCCACGTCATCATAGAAGCAATCAATATGGTTGCTTTGTATAATAAATTTTAATTGTATTTTTCTGTACGATTAAATTTCTATTCGATTATTTTAGCGATTTTTATCTAAAGAAAGATCTTCATCATTATTATCACTTAGTATCGCTACGGACGATTCCTGTCGGGATCTATATTCGAAACAAATGTCGACAGTCATGACCCTTTCAGCAACACGTAAATTTTAGAAACATAAATTTTCTATTTAATTTGCTAATTGTTTTCTCCTATCGTCAGATTATCAAATAGCTAATAAATCGACGGACTTTTGCATATTTCCTGATCAGTATCAAGCATATGAATGGTACACAATTAATGGAACAATACGAATGATTATTAATAATACAGATATAGAATTAATTGAACTTAATAAACGTTTATATTGTCATGAAATGATCCACTCAGAAAAATCAATAACTACTTATCGAATACGAACATACACAAATTGGTAATTTAGTTTTGTTTTTTTATGAGAAAAAATTTGACATTAGCTTTTTAAATTCCAGTCATATTACACATGAATGTCTTCGTCTAATTCAACGAACAGATAATGTTATCGAGCTTTATACAGCTACGTTCTTAAATGAAAATGGTTGTTCCGATTTAAATGATGATAATTATGAGTTATATTTAACATTTTTTACAAAATCATTTATACCATCGGATCCATGTCCACCCTATATCAATGATTTGTTAGTTCAATCAACAACTATTGATTTTGATTTGAAGACAAAATCATTGCATATGTCTATTGATTGTGATAAGGAACAAAAAATAGCGATCTCACAAAATGACCAAGGTTTGAATTGATTTCGATTTTTAAATAATTCTTTTGATAAACTATGCGGAAAAAAGACACAGGAGTCCCAATCGAAGTTAACTTAATATGTGCACAGTAAATTCACTCGCAGGGCGTTTGATGTCAACGATAAACGTACAACGGAAATGAATAATAAGACAGTAAACAGAATGTGCAAAGGACACAGGGCGGGTCTCGGATGTTAACAGTTAATTCAATCCGATTGGATTGAGAGAAGATTGAGTACAGGGTAGTTCGTATTTTATCGGGCAGATGAACTGAAGCACGGACAATATCAGAATTTCCGCTTAGTGATACATGCGAAAAATCTCGACGAACTCAATCAGTCAACCGTCGTGACACAGAACAAAATTTGACCCACATAAAACTACATGTCATCAAATCTTAAATTTCGATTTCGATTATTTATGATTGTAGATCTCAAACTTCGATCCATAACTGGACTCGAAACATGCCTTGCATCTTGGCGATCGGGCGATTCGTTGACAACATATTTCATTGCTCAATCGAAACATTCGAATGATTTTTATTGTTTCGTACGTGATAACTTTTTCTTCGTACTAATTTGGTTGAATTCGATTGTTCTTTTAGAGTTTCGAAATGACTAGTCGAATAACAATTCGAAATAATCGACATGGATGCTCATTTGCCAGTCATGCAGACGAAGAATCATTTTCTATACATTCAGTTTATATTGAACAATTTTGTTCTCGATCAAAAAAATTAGTATCAAAATTTATTCTACTATTAATAACAATCTTTTTTTCTATCAGCAATATTGAATAGGAATTTTTTCTCATATTTAGTTATTCATTCCAAACAGTGAATATATATATACAATATTGTTTTCGCTATATGTTTTGTATGTTGTACGGCAAGATAAAAACTTTTCTTTTTTTATATCTTCAGTTTGGTTGTTGAAAAAAAAAGCAAGATTAATTGAAATATATATATTTAATCATGAATCCGGCATAGATTTGGATGTAGCACCTAGTAGATATCCACATTTTTAGTAGTAAGTGCACATCATCAAGATGAAGGTCTAAATTTTGATGATTTAAATGTTGGAATTACTTCGATCGCATTCGGAATTCAAGTGCCTTTCTTGTCATTAATAATTACAAAAAAAGAAAATAGCTCATCTTATGACTGAATCCTACTTAAAAATCATGCGTACAAATTCTCTTGAATGTTCCTTATTTTCCTGGATGTTTTCTTAAGCGCGAGAAACATGTTGTTAACATGCAAAGAATCACAATTATTACCTTTACTTAACTCAGACTTTATTTCGAAGAATGAAAAAAACGCTTTTTTTTCTTTTGTCATCGCTTTTCAAACGAACGTAAATTTTTCAATCGTGAGATATACCGCTGGATATGTTTATGATTTGCTAGTTTTTGTTGACTTCGTGATGAGGAATTAGATTTTGGTGAAAGTGTTTTTTGACTAAATATATACTCGGTATAATAATTCTTTTTTTCTCGCTCAATAATGCATACCTAGGAGAAGGCTTTTCAGATGTTTCATGTAATTTCGACAATTGTTGAGCTCGACGTAGTTGCGCGTATGAAAGTAGCAGAGGACACTTTTGTGTATTATCAGTTGATATCGATGGTTGTTCAATTTTGTTCATATTACTATCGATATTCGATGAACGAGGATAAGATACTGTCAGTGTTTGTTTTGATAGCGATGTTTTATTCGATGTCAAACTTCGAACTAGAGATAAATTAAAAAACTACTTTTCACACCGTGAATTTACCGGTTGGAGATTTAGACGATGCGAAAGTTTCCTTCGATTGATTAAGATCGATAGAATGCAAATTTAATACGGGCGTTTGATCGGCCGGTTTATTCTGAGCTGCAAACACCGACCATCGAAATTCGATTTGCATTTTTGTTGTTGGTTTTTTCTCATTTCGTTTAGATTTAACGTTTGAATTCGGACTTGACGACTCTTCTTGTAACACTGGTAGCATTTCGTTTTCGAGATGATTTGTTTCAAACATACCAACAATAAAAAAAAAACGACACGATACTTCTCAAATTTATATACTTACATATTTACCTTTCGAAAATGAATCCATAAATCAATGAAATTGGCATAGCTTTCTGTTTTTTTTCTATTCCTCAAACGATAGTAGAATCAAAAAAAGAGAATAACAAGCACATTCAAATCATTGTCGCTTTTAAAAAAAGCAAATATTAAGCGGCACATAATTATAAACGAAAGTATTGACTTGTAGAAAAGAAAGCAATTAAATTTGCATACGATTGTTTTTTTTTCATCTGTCTCCATGTTAATATACTAACTATTTTATTTGTTGTTCATCTGTACAAAAAAGAACAAATAACAAAATGAAACACACAAACACGCGAACACGTAGATAAAAATCACAATCGAGAAACACGTGGTAAAGGACGACCATTTACTGATGATGTTGAACCTGATGATATATCGGCTGCATTCGGATCACCATCATCTTCTTCTTCTTCTTCAGTATTCGGAAATCGGAAACTGCTTCGAGCAGATGAATCTATAGAGAGAAAACACGAAAGACCGGTAAAGGTTTTATTTGAAAATTGTTTTTCGTTTGCTTAAATATTACCTCCATTTGTAGAAAAATGAACTTGATGGGAACGTGAAGTCGGCTGTTGATTGGATCCGTAATTTTCAACTAATACAAGTGGAATATCTTTTCGTTGTGGTGATGAAGATAAATGACGATGTTTTCGTTCATTGTGACTTTCGTGAAAATATTTTTTACGACGCTGATCAAGATAGTTTGTTCGTTCGGCAGCAAGCATAAGTAAAGTATCAAATTTATCGGTTTCGGACGTTCGTTCTGCTGTTGAACGACGTTTTGGAACTTGTAAAGTACCGCCTAGATTCGGTGCCAGCGATAATGATGAGCGATTACTATGCGAACGATTTATTAATTGATTTTGCTGACGAAGTTCATTTAGTTCAATGCCTGCATTATCACCTGAACATTGAGAGCACCGGCGAGCAATAAGTGCTTTACGATTTGAAGCACCGCATTGAATAGAAAATCGAAGTTCTTTCACTAATTCCCACCAAACAGAATGCTAAGAAGAAGAAAAACATTTTCTTTTAGTTCAGAAACGATCTATTATTTTTTACTATACATAGAAGAGTAAAAGTACTTCATTCTTTGACACATATATTTCTACGAATCTGTCAGAGTCAAATTTCAGAGTCTCATCTAGTACTAGAATTACAAACAGAAATCTGATACCTGTACTACAGAAATTATCGTCGGCATCGGTCTCATAAATAACTAATCAAATTTTTATTAGATAGATTGAGAAATGTCCTAAGGTGAGATGGTTCTACGCTTGAAAATTTCAGTTAGCTTTAGAAATCTATTGGGAGATTTATATATATATTATGAAAATAAATATGTGCATTGTGACGTACTCGTCGATTTTCATGATTTTTGCGGGCATGCCATAGAAATTCCAGGATAGCAACAAGCAAAGAAAGACAAACACCGCCTAAATAAATGATAATTAAATTTTTCAAATGTTCGATATGGACTGTTTTCTGTCTCTCTTACCAAGAAGCACCACAAATATGCCACCGACATTTGTTAAACCCAATGGATTTGCTTTAGAATCTTTTTTCTCCGATGAACACGTTCCTTTACCTTTCCACCATTTGTTATAAGATTTTTGAATCTAAATTGATTATGCGAATTTTATTTTCTCTGCAAAAATGTCTTCTAATTACTTACAATTCCTTTTTCTTGTAAGTCAAGAATTATTTCAGAAAAACGTTCACGATATGGACTTCCTATTGAAAAAAACACAAAAAAACATGATTTTCTTTTTCTTCAGATCGATGCTTACCTTCCGGTAATCCTATTCCATAACCTTTATTATCAAGTAAACCACCGATTTGTGTTAAATTACATTCGCGTTGCACTGTATATTCGATGGATGTTGATTCCATGAGGAAAGCATAGGATTCATCTTTGACACGATCAATACCTTCTTGATTTTTACCAACAAATGCATCTGGATAACTATTCATGTAGTTCCACATGGTTTGATAGGTTGGAATGCTCGATTCCTATTATTTTTGTTTTCGAATAAATTTTAGAGAAATAAAATTAAAAACCATACTCGAAAAAACTGTTCTGTTGAACCACCGCTTACAACTCCATATTTGATTTTAGTCTGTTTGGCTAAATCTTCAGCGCTTTCAATCGGATTAACAAGTTTTTCGACAGTTAAAAAGGCAGCTGAAAAAAGAAGATTACATTTCAATGAAAAGAAACAAATAGTTGGATTTTTTTCTTTGTACCCAAGTTAGCTGTATACGATGAGATAAGGATAAGTGTAAAAAACCACCATATACCGGATACAAGACGAGTCGAAATAGCCGATGGGCTTACATCGGAACCTAAATAATAGACAAAACAATTATATATATATATATATATATAAGATTATAAAATGATCTCGAGAAAATCATAAACTGATGTCTAAGATAAACTGGATGGCATCTCAAACGTTTTGGCGGAGATGCCCTTCATCAGGTATATAGTCTTTTGTACAGTTATTTTTGTTTTATCGGATGGTACACTCGTGATACTGTATATTTTAGAGAGAGAGAGAAAAATGAATCTTGAAAGAAAATTTTACCAATTAACAACTCTTGACAGTATTAGAATCCCGTAAAAATTTAAGCCGAAAGAAATGATTCATTCTTCAGGTATCAAATCCTTGAACAAGCTCGATCCTTTCTCATTATGTATGGGATTGTTTTACATTTCACAAATGTATCGTAGCTTGGGGTTCAAATTTTTCAGGATACTCGAATGATCTTGACAAAACTATTTGTAGACAAATTTTTAGGTCAAATGTCTTTAGTGTAAGCGCTGCATCCTGAATAAAGCATCCGATGAAACGAATCTAGCATCATAAAATAGCACACACACACACACACACACACACACACACANCGCTGCCTCCTGAATAAAGCATCCGATGTAACTACTCTAGCATCATAAAATAGCCCACACACACACACACACACACACACACACACACACACACACACACACAAAGAGGAACCCTCTATTTATAACACACTCGAGATAATAAGCGAAGTACCATTTAAAACATGAAGTACATTATCATAATAATAAAATTGATTACAAAAATACATCAATCCGAAGAGTTATGTTTTTCTTATAGGCCAAAAGCAATAAACAAAGAAAGCCTAAGAATCATTACGCGCAAAATAATTATTTCGTTATTTAGTAATAGGACATTCGATGATAACCGAAAGGCACGTTTTAACTCAAAGAATTTTTAATCTACAATTCATTGTATAATTTTAAATTAGTTTCTACTCACGATGATCTCATACGAAAGAATGATTTGAGAGATATTAAATAAGTATTTTCGTAACCAATGAAACATTGCCTGGCAATAACTATGGTCATCTATTCAATTTTAGCATAAACTAGTTATAAGAAGAAAAAAAACGGTTGCACGATATAGAAAACATGCAAATTCAATAATTGAATAAATATATCTTTTTCCAGAGAGCATTATTCTATTGATTCAATAAATAATTTTCTTTTCAGAAATTATTCATGTTCTATAATATTATCGAGGTTTCATTCAGTTTATAGTAAATCTATTGTAACGCGACTTTTTCTTTGTTGCAATCATCCTTGATTTTGATGTAATCTTGTTTGGATGAAAACACAAAGGCTAACTCATTTTTAGTTCTTCCTGTTGTTCTTCAAAGTAAACGTATATAAATAGAACACGAAGAAAATTAATCTCCAGAACAGTAATAGCATTTGTGTCCGAATGCTTTTAAGACTTCTATTAAGTTATGGTACTTAGATTTTTTTTTATAATTAGTCAATTTTCTTTCAGCGAAGGAAAAAATAAGAGGCTTTTTTTCTTCTATTATACCTTGTTGCATTAATGTTCCAATGGAAAACCAAAGTGTATTACTAACGGTAAAACGATTTTCTAAAATATCGTATTCGGTATCACATGGATACGGATTACGCCATTCATCAGGTGAACATCGAGCAATTAATAATAGAATAAAACTAACTGTAAATACAGCAGCAAATGTATATATCTGATAAAAAATAAAAATATTTATAGAATAGAATTCAAAAATGAAATAATCTTACCCAAATTTCAAGGGAAAGTGGGCTTAAAAAACTAAATAAACCTGGTTTTTCAGGCTTTGGTAATTTAAATAGAATTGCTATACCCAAACTAAGAAACGGTTTGGTAAAATCAATTTGCTTCTCACGAGCATAATTAACTATGAAAAATAAATATTCAAATGGAATTCTCGTACAAAATTTCATACATACTAGTTAATGGTGCGACAGCTAAATCAGCTTTCTAAAAGACAATAAACACGTATACAACAAAATTATCGATTTCATAATGTTCATACTTTTGTTCTAACTTCATCAACCATATCATCATAACGTAATGTTGTTATGGGCTTTATTTTGTAACGAAATTTAAGTGCACGGGACATCTCTTCAAGTAAATCAACACAGAAACCTTCAAAATCGTTATTTGTATAATTTTGATGTAATAAATCACTAATGTTTTGATTATTTTTAAACATCACATAAGGAGCTTCCTATTGTTGGATAGGGAAAGAAAGAAAAAAACATGTTACATGCAAAGTGAATAGAATAAGTTGATTTACATACAACTATAGTTGTTACAATCAATGTTGAATTGAATAGGCCACCACGTGCGGTGGGTGTCAATGTAAAATTTGCGCCTTTCTCACGTGCCCATGTACCGACCTTAAAAGATATAGTACATAGAATAGAGATTCATCGTATTAGTGAGGCTTCTTGATAGAGAATTTTTTCTGTCAACAGTCGTTCGCTATGTGCTCAGTTAATTGTAATATACACCTGTTCTTATGATTAATGAGTCTGCATTGCGAGCTGGAAAATTTGATTTGCACAACCCTATTGCCTAGAGCTATAGTGATTGTCAGTTATAAAGAAATATATTGTGGAAGTGAGTCTGGCACTCGACAGCAGCACTCCATACCATGCAGTACCCGAAAGACAGAACTATTTTTCTGCTTTTTTCTTATATTGAGAAGATATTGTCCGAAAAAAATGTTCTAATCGTAAGCTAGTATACTGTGCTGAAAGACATCTATATTTATGAAGCATTGAATACCTTGAAAAGATCGTATTAATTTATTTGGACATAACTCCTAATAAATGTTTATCTTATCAACATATCTGATCTTGTTACTGAATGGCCTTTTAATCGTTAGAGTACAAAAAAAAATGAGGCACCGATAAACAATAATTGATGGATTGATTAGAACATCTGTATTTATCTGTCTATTCGTCTTGTTATAGAACATGTAGAAGAAAAAAAAGCGAAAAGAATAAATTCACTTACTTTTGTAACGCCAGCTTCGGATAGATGAACGACATCGAGTTCAAATCCGGTTCGTTCTCCATTCGGAGTGAATTTTACTTTGCCCGTAATTCCATCAAAGGAAATCTATGAGCAAAATTATTATTAATTTAGATACAAAAAACGATAAATTCTTATACTTCATGAAATTTTGAATGTAGCTCAATACCCAATGGCCATCCTCGACCATCCGCACATGAAACATTCGGTCGCATTATTTCAACACCAAGACGTAGTTGCGATGCAATTAATCTATCGTATGCGTATGCATATGCAAGTATTGCATCAGCCCATAATGCCACAGAAGTCTAAAATATATCATGAAACGGGTCGATCATGTTCGAACGAAGAAAAAATAAGAAACCGTCGAACAACTCACTGTGAACAGTCGACTATTGACTTCATTATTTGACATTGTTTTAAATGCAAAAAATGATTGCATCGCCTGTAGTATGCGAGGATCACGACGATTAAACAATCGATAAGCGGTTAAGTTAACGTAATTATATCTATAGTCTTCTAAATCAAATGTATCAATATTCTACAAAACAAAAAAAGAAAAAATTTTCAAATGAAAAAGTTCTAAATACATACCAATGTTGTCAATATATAGTGATAATTTGAATTAATCATGCCCATTTGTAAAGCCATTTTAAGTACAGTACGCGTATTTACATCATTTAAATCTAATATTATATTATTGATGTCTCGTCCAATCGCGTCAATAAGAACACTACGATCTTTATAATGCGTAAATTGGCGTACAAGGATATCGCTTTGATTGACACCAGGATCATTGAGCAATTTTTGTAGACGTGTCAAACCTTATCATATAAGATATAAATGAAGATAAACCTAATATCTCAATTAAATAGATCTTTACCTGAATCTATATCATAGATAATAAGAAATTTAGTCCATCGAAGTTTATGTGTTAAATTATGAAAAGCGATATTAAGATCTTGATTGGACGGATATAAGTTAATTGACATGCTATCAGGTCTTGGGATTTGCTCAATATAATCATTATTTTCTTCATCCGGATTTTCAACATCATAACACGATGAACATACATTTATAAACGGCACATCGACATGGTAACATACTGAATGAACCAGTGTAGCTAATTCAGGGTAGGGAGGTCCAAATATACCTTGCACATAACGTTGATGTACAAGTGAACACACTGAAAGGAAAAAGAAAGATAACTTTTAATGCCAAAAAAAAGAGATTTTCTTTTTGCACACACCATCATGAACAGTTTGTACAGCGGATTCGGCGGCAATTAAACTTAAGGTTTCTTCTTTCATACGTATTTTAAATTGAAGATTATGTGCTTCTTTCGCCAGACGATTGTAATGAAAAATAGCATATTTAAATATGTTTTCCATACTTTGAGTTTCGGTTCCTTCGTCTCGATCTGTAAACACACCACCTGGAAAAGGAACAAAATTAAAAAAAGAAGAAGCAAGTTAGTCATGAATTATTTTGTTTTTATTAGTATAACATTTACCAACAGTAATGTCAAATGTTTGTGTATGTAAATGTTGTTGACCAGCAACAGCAGTTGTAATTATAATTAGTAAATCCCACAAATAGACAACAAGAAGAATAAGCATCTTTCTGCATCACTTCGAATACGTAGGTGACCTTTTACTATTGAACATCGAACATTGCGTGCCCACCAAGGACAACTGCTATCCACTTTTTCTATCTAGGCTAATTGTTCGTCATAGATTTTATTAAAAAAACAGAATATAAATAACTCACCTAGACTCATTTCATCTTACGTCTAAGATTTTATAAACTCAGCAATGTGTCACAATAATTATCATCTAGACAAAGGAGAATACAAAAAAAAAGGAAAAAGAAAGAAAGCACTGCTTGTCAATGTTCGAGTTATCTACTATGAAGAGACATGCATTTGATCGTTCTTTTCTCTTTTTCTGTCATTCCAAGTGGATATCATCAAGGATTTGTTGACGATCACATAATTATATAAGAAGAAAGACGGAATAGAAAGGATGCACCATAGTAATGATTGCCAGAAAAGACTAAACGCAAGACTTTATTAGATCAAATCCATAGTTCTGACCGAATTTCACATCGTTAGTAACCCTAATCGCTCTATTTTTCTTTCTTTCTTATGCATCCATCATTCTAAAAGTAAGAGCACAAGGATATGAAAATGCTTCCCTTTCTCATCATTCGTCCTTGTCGCATTCTTATCGTAGACGAGATTTTGTGCTTACTACTCGCTTTCACGCTTCGCACACTCAACAGACTCATCAGTGCTTTCTCTACTCGCGTGCTACATAAAAGATGTGGAGAATTCCCATTCAGAAGATTTCTCATTTTTGCTGTTTCTCATGGTTGCCAGTTGTCTCGTTTCACAGAACAAGAGAAGAAAAAGAAGAGAGGAGAAGAGAAGAGAAGAGAAGAGAAGAAAAAAATAACCATACAAAGAAAGAAATAGAAATAAAAATGACGATGCCAACAAGAAGATTTTCTTAGCTACGAAAAAAAAAAATATATATATATATATGTAAGAGATCGTCGTCTGACACTAATAATGATGATGAGGTTACTGGTGCTTCTATTGACTACTGTTAGTTGAAGCGGCTCTACAGGGAGTCTACAATAGCAATGATCGTGCTGGGCTACATTTGCATGCTGCTGAGAATAAATTCAAATTAGAATAGCTCATTAAATCATGAAGATCACGAAGATTTATTTCGATGACAGCAACGATTCATACAGATAATTAGCATATAAAAACTTGATTTTGTTTTTCTAGTGATTATACTTCTTTCTTTACTACTATAGTAGTAAGTTTAGATTGTAATGAATAATAACATGAATGCATACACATATCTCAGATGTGCATTGAAACTGACATTAATTGACAAATTACGATAGAATAGATGTTCTACAATCAGTCGGAAGTTCTTTCGATTCATTTATTTCCATTTTAGTACTAATCGAAATAGATATATAAGTCAAAACGTTTTGTAATAATCGACAAGCGTGAGCACGCAAATGTATTGTTTGAAAATCTGATATAAATAATCGACTCTCGCAAGCTTTTTTAAAAATCAACGGCTGAGAAAGAACGTTGAGTAAACTCATGATATTTGCCTTGAACGATTCTCAAGATTCATTAAAATATATATAGTTTTTTTTTTATCATAAGTAAAGCAATTCAGAAAAAGAAAGAAAACAACAAACTTAGAGAGCTGCTATGTTTGTTCCTTTTCTTCATTTATTGACTATCAATTAATGATTGATCCATTTTTTTCAAGAACGAAAAAACAGACTGAGACATGTCAGTCCACTAAAACATAGATAATCAATAAGATGATATGATCGATCAACTACCCTCAAGGTTCTTTTCCTCCCAAGACAGCCAATCCTTCATCCATGTATATTTACATATGCAATAAAGAAATAACGAACGCATGAAAGAAAGTATTTCTTTGTATTGTGTATTATATTGTTGCTAATTGATAGAGCACCCGTGTTCGTATACTTGCCAAAAAGCAAATGCGTATATTGTTCGATGGATGTGTAACAGCGAGTTACATAGTTCTTGTAAGTAAGATAAAACGATTAGTTGTGTGGGCGAAAGAAGTATATTCGAATGTCGATGCTTAGGGGTAATGCACAATAACAGCTATAATGACGATAAAGAAAAACGAACAAGAAAAAAAGAACTAACGACAATTGATGACGATATAGATCAAATGTCGAGTATATGTGCTATAAATTTCTGTTGATTGTCACTTGTAAACGATATTCAATTTGATGAATGATGTCTCAACAACAATACAAGCGATTATGGCGCTTGCTTTGCTGTTGCCTGAAAGATTAGACGATATTCAAACTGCACAATGCATACGTAAGCGCTTGTTCCTATCGATGCCATCGATCAAGTCAACACCAATACTTGTATTGCAAAAGAAAGTGCATAAGAAATTATTCCTCTCTTCATTTCTGTACAATAGTATATACATGTACGCATTTGTACCTCAAAGGTTTACTCTATACTAGCATGTCACTTTGTTGCGTCTATTTTAGTACGTGTCAAAATGTTAATTTTCTTTTCTCTTTTTTTTGTAATCAATTCGTCAGCGAAATGAATTATGATAGTAATGGTAAGATTACATAATCTTCTTTTTGCCGATGAAACTTTCAAATACTTCGTTCGATGAATCAGCTGGAACACAAAAAAATTTGTAATCTTGTACAACAGAAAAAAGAAAGAGAGAGAGAGAGAGAGAAAAAAAAGAATGCGCACAAAGAAAATAAATGACCTTTTTTTTGCTTTACATATTCGTAAAGTTTATGTATGACATATTGCCACTTGTCGACGTTTTATTCTTATTCTAGATTTCTCCTTTCTCCTTCTGCAATATACAGACACATTTATTTCGACTACAACAACAGCTTCTCCTTCGCTGCGTAAGCAATTGTGTGCGGCACCACTTAATGAGCTGCTCGTCCTCATCTTATCAGCAGCAGCCATATCGGTTAAGCTGTCGACATGAAAGAATATAAAGTAGTAGTACTTGGTCCTGGCGGTGTTGGCAAATCGGCATTGACTGTACAATTTTGCCATTCGAAGTTTGTCGAAAAATATGATCCAACTATTGAGGCAAGCAAATATTATTTTAAAAAATTCATTTCTTTCGTCTTTTTTTTATTCTCCTCCCCAAAAAATGCCTTTAATGTTTGATGAAGATATTTTTCGTCATCGAAGTCTATTCCTCTCCATGGAAATTCAGTGACTTTTCGTTTTTTAGATAAATAAATAATTCGATTCAAAACGAATGTTGTTAGTTACCTCTTTTTCTCTGCTCTAATTATGCTAATGATTTATCGTTATTTTTAGGATTTCTACCGTAAAGAAATCGAAGTTGATAGTGAACCTGCCTATTTAGAAATACTCGATACCGCCGGTCAGTTCGTATAACATAATAAATGTTCAATCGATTTAAAATCTATATCTATTCTAGGCACCGAACAGTTTGCATCTATGCGTGATCTTTATATAAAAAATGGACGTGGCTTTCTTGTTGTATTTAGTTTAACATCATGGCAGTCATTTGTTGATATTCGTACGATGCGCGAACAAATCCTTCGTGTTAAAGGTACTGATAATGTTCCAATATGTCTTATTGGAAATAAATGTGACGCATCATTACAACGGCAAGTTACACCCGATGATGCACTGGAATTAGCGCAAGCATGGAGTTGTCCGTATATTGAAACTTCAGCTAAATTAGCTATTAACGTTAATGATACATTTGCTGAAATCGTACGAGAAATAAACGCCAGAATCAAAACGAAAAAGAGCAGAAAGAAGAAAAAGAAATATCGAAGAAGATTTCTAAATTGTTGCTCATCACCGTGATATTTATTTATCTATTTATAGCAATAAAATAATAGAGAAAACTGCTCGTCTTTTTGTCTCCTTGAATTCACGTATAGCAGCATGATGAATATTTAACGAATAGAATACTAACGAAAAGAAAAGAAAAAGGGACATAGAATCTTTTTCGCAGTTTCTATACTTACATTCCTTTTATGCTCTTTTTCTTTCAATACTTCAGAATCGAATTTGATTGAAGGCAACATTTTTTTTTCTTGATATTTTTATTTATGTTAATTGTAAAACGTTTAGAGAAATTATTCAAATCAGACTAAAAGACAGCTAGTTGGAGAATGTTAGGAACATATAAATAGAATAACAACTATTGATTAACTCTATATTCCATTGAGAATAACTTATGTAGATGCGAACTATGATGGAGATGATATAGTTTAGTTCAGCGAAGGAATATTTTGTTTGTCACAGATGTATATGCAAGTCTAAAATGGCACATTCGTCTTAAGTGGCATAAAAAAATGCATTTATTTATAACTTGATTTTTTTCCCTCTAACAATTATACAGTTATTTTCATCTGTATCGAGCTGGAATTCTAGTTAGAATAGATTAGTTTTTTTTAAAATGAATCATTTCAATGAATGATATATGTTTGCTCGTTTGTAGCAGGCTATGTCATAATTGAGTATAGTTCTTTGATTTTCTTTAGTCATGTTGATGTGTTTCTGATATAAAATCATTCAGTCCTACTACTAAACTCTCGTCTGGAAGTGAAACGCTACCACACAAACTATACATTTTTATGTTTGTCGAGAATGAATAACTTAGAAATAGTAATCATAGAAAGTCTTTTATTGGTTATGAGTACTAATCTAGTTTTAACAATGAAAATCGGCTCATGGATGATTTTCTATTGATCATAAGCTAATGTCAGAAATAAACTATTCTGATTTTCCATCACGAATAGATGAAAACAAAGAAGAGAAGAATAACCAAAGACAGAGGGCAAAGAGTGAAATTATTTGTACAAATAGAAAATATCATAAGTGAAAGTTATGTTGAATGATATGTTTGTTTTCTAATCATAAATAATTCTTCCATAATAATCTCCCTACTGAACTTATTTATAATCATTACCATCACAAGTGATAATGATTACTCTATCATCGTCGCTATTAGTATACGTGCAACAAAGTATACATTTACCGTTAGTCAACTCAAACGATCATCCAGTCACGTCCCAACCAATAGCATGATCGTAAATAGCTTCTTCTTCTTTAGTCTCATCATAATAGAGCTCAGACAAAAAAAGAATCATTATTATTCATGCAGCAGAGTTGAGTGTATTTTCCCTTGATAAAAAACGATTTCCAAGCAGTCGACTTCGGTGTTCACTATGAATACAAATCAATGCTGATTTTACACACGCTCCTATTGATGTACGGGAACTTTGAGTAGAATTAATAGACTTAAATATAATATTTGCTGGAGACCGTGATTGGTAAACGGTGACAAATAAATCAATAATAGGTTACTTGATGCCATATTTATTGACATTAACCTTGATGTACTATTGCATGATTCGTACTTTCTATTAACGAGACAGAAGAAAAAAGATTGTCGAAATAAGCATCGCTCTCACTTGACTTATTGTCATTGATTTATCGATGGAAAAAAAGTTAATTAAAATTCTTATTGCACTCAGCTTGAAAACTAACAGTGCATTGGCGAACTAGAATATCATATTGCACCCGCACGTATCATAAAAGTATTGAATATTATTTCGATGGCACACAAATCAATTTGAACCATAGAATAAAAACACTTTTTCCCCGTTATATGTAGACCATCAAGAGTTATATTTATCACAAACGCAAAGGTACGAGTTGTAAGACCTTTGTCGCGCAGGCGTATACTACCTGTCTCATCATCGTGACAAATTAATCATATTAATTCATAGCACTGATTTAGTTTAACATCAGCTTCGGAATACTACAACCAATTTTATTAGCAAATTTATTTGCTAATTAAAATTGTCATACATGAAAAACATATAACATGCTCTTTTTGATCCAAAATATATAATCAAATGTCAAAGAAATATGGGACACTTTTTCTAGTAGATGCCTTCGAAGTTCTATACTCTCTGAACATCATACATTTTATATTCCGATCATGCATTGAAAAACAAATTCGATTAACTATTTACTAATATTTGTTCAGAAACATAAGATCGAAGTATAATGATCTGACATAAATTCCTTATATTTTATTTTAATTGAAAATCTTAGTCATTAAAAATTTATCTGTATTCTATGCGCAATCTTGAAGTCAAATTATCCGGATGGGTTTCTTTGTCTGATATGAATCATCGTCTCGATATGTTTCATCAACTCAATCGGAAATTCCTTTGCGTAGCTAATAAAACAGGATTAAAAATAAATAGCGACCGCAAGATGAAATTCCCTATAATTAGTATCAATAGAAAGAAAAAATCTTGAATTTGTTCTACTATTCTAATGATGATTATTTATTGGAAATAAATTTATCGAACCAGTTAAATTCGAAATAGTAATAATGAGTACGATCAAAATAATAGAATAGTTCTCCGGAAAATCAGTTAACGAGAATTTCCATGTGAGAATAAACTTGCATAGGCTGACGATTTCCACGTTTCCTACATGAACACTGGCTTTTTTCGCATATGAACTCATTTGATCTTATACAACAATGTTTGATAAAATAAAAATTTGCTCAGAGAAAACTAAAACAAATTTCAATCTACTGTCTTTCTTATTGTTCATTTATATTAACTATCTATGTTCATCAGTTAGGTAATATACAAATTACTAGTGGAACTTATCGAATATGAACTTGAAGATTAATGACATGTTTGAACTTTAGTCACTATTACACAATAGCAATGGCCATGTAATTTAATACATATCAAACAAAAATCACTTTAACATTCAATTGTCGTGAGTGTAAATTGATTGATTACCGCATGAATTTTCAAATTCATATTGTGAACTAGACAAACATATCTTGCATTCTGATTTACCGTACTTCATTTGCATTTCGATGAGTTCAAGTATATTAGTGAATAATGAACTGATGTTATTAATTAAATGTAACTTCAATTCAATCGTGCGGCTACAGCTTGATTGCGGACATTTTTTTCCAACAATTAAGAGAAAATGTCCGCAAAGTAGAAACAGGGGGTGGGGAAGAGACGAAAATAGGCCCAGAGGGGAAATGTCCGTAAAGCAGAATCGGGGGGAGGAGAGGAAAAAATGTCCGCACTATGGAATCAAGATAATATTTATTAGGTGGAAAAAAATAAAGAAAAATCATTTATAAATAGTTGAACATCTAACTGTGTTAGGTTGATAATCAAAATCATCCTTATCAGTTGTATTGAATAACTTGATGTAGCGATAAAAAGTCGGTCGTAATCTCGTTTGATAACCACTGAGATCCAAGAAACCATTTAAATATTCTTCCTTGGCTTGAATTAAAATATTATCATTTCTCACTGGCTTGACTCTCCTAGGACGTGTTGAGCTTCTTCTTGCTTAACTCGAACCATTATTGATTCTTCTGATTCCTGAATATATCTTATCCAAGCCCACATATGTGGACGTGTTTGACAATGAGAATTTAATTGGCCATGAAAACCTTCTACGTGGTTATTGGTTCTTGGTCGACTTTCAATGAGCTCAAATAAATTCCAAAATGATAATTTTTAAAACCTATACCATCTTTATTAGATTGTGTGGAAATTGGAGAAAAACTATCATCTTTCACGATGGACATTTTTATTTGATTCATGTAGGTTTAACTTCGTCACTTTGAATGTTTTTCTTTCACAATACATGCTTATAAAATGACCTGAATGACATGTGGCGAACAACATTAGACTAGCTCGAAACAGTTGATATTATTCAATACAGCTATTTGCATGAATCGTCTTAAAATATCAATTTTCGTTTGATTCCGTAATGCGGACATTTTTTTCTTCTCCCCCTTGTTTCTACTTTGCGGACATTTTTTCCAACAATTAAGAAAAAACGTCCGCAATCAAGAAGACGCGAATCGTGTATACAGCTGATGCTAGAATTATATACGTGTCTATTTTAACATAGAAAACAATGAATTTTTTTTTTCGAAGCCCTATTGATAGAAATTCTTTCGTATAAAAGAATTAGTTATATTCGGAAGTGAAGCATAATATAAAAAAGAATCTTTAGATGATTCGATTACATATTTGAATAAATAATCTTAGGCAATTGAATTTGAATTCTGTGAATCTATTTTTCTTAGATATATAGGATATTATTTTTATGTTATTTAAGAAAAAAACATTAAACTAATAAACGACTAAAAAATACAACCGACTGAACTAATTTTCAAGAACAGCGGAAGGTTAAAAGAATTCGATCAGAATAATAAAAATAGTTTCTCAGAAAAACAAAATACTAAATCTTATTATTTTATTACGACAGTATTAGATAAAAAGTCTATTTATAATGTCCTCATTATGAATAGCTGTTAAGATTTTTATAATATCGGTCATTACTCATCTTCAGAAAATTTATCATAGGTTGGAAGATTTTCTATGCACGAGATAAACTACAATTTTGAGAACATTTCATCACAACAAGAATAATACAATATTTTATTTTCTAGTACAAGCTTTTGAATTTTAATAACTTAGATTAACAAAGAAACGTTTTTAATCGAATAGACATTGAAAAAAAAGAAAGTTTGGTTTTAGTCTATTTCAACGCACATTTAATCGAATTCAAAAATAAAATAATAATAAAATTGTAATTTCACCACATGATTGTAAAGTACTTTGGTCAACAGGTACGGTGGGGGGACAAGTGAGTTATCAGGGGTTTCAGAGCTATTCTGTGATTTTTAACAATTTCTATTTATTGCAACGACTTTTAATTTTTCTTTTTTCAAATTCATTGTAGCACATAATCACGGTCTTCGTCTAGAGATTTTGGCACTAGTGACATCTGCGGCAATAACCTCGGTACACTTGAAGTTCTCGTCGTTGTTTTGAATTCATAAAATTCTCCTTTTTACGCAGTGAAATTCATGTGATCTTGTGTTTTTTCTTCCAACACATATTTAGCATTTTGATTAAACAAAAATCAGCATAATTGTCACGCTTTCTTTTCCCGATGAGACGCAATCACTGACGTGATTCGATGATGCCATCAATCGTAAAGAATAAAATTTATTCTGTTTTTCTATTTACTTTAATTGCCTATGGATTTTTAATCCTTACAAATCTCTCTTGAAGAACAATTCATAGGAGAGTCTGAAAAGCGAAAAAAATAAATCAACTCAATAATATCTTAATGTAACATATGATAATCGAGATATTTGTTTAGTTTTGATAAATTGATGATGCAGTACGAGTTGATTTTTATTTAATATAAAATGATTCAATTAAATTAAAATCTTCTTGTGGTCCTTATTGATACAGACATTTACGAGATAGATTATGTTTCAAAGATAGTTGTTGTTGGTTTGGTTAGTGTTCATGTTATTGTTTTCATTGGTATGGTCGTTAAATTGTTGCTAATATTTGTTGGTGTTTAATCAACTATCTTTGAAACATCATCTATCTCGTAAATGTCCGTATCAATCAGGGCCAAAAATATCGATAAAGAAAGAGCAAATAAACATTTCGAATTTTTAAAATTTTATTTAATTGAATCATTTACACAATTAAACACAGATTTGAATCAACGATCGTCATATAGAAAAATTGTTGTTTGCTTGTCACCTACATTTTATTTATAGAACCTATAGAGAACTTCTTCTGAGTGTTTCATTCTTTTATTCAAAATTGAGTTCGAGCTGAGAAAAACAATCATTGAATGGTGTATGTAAGGAGCAGCAGAAATAAAAGCAGCCATTCAACAATCTTCATTCGTAAACAAATCTCAAATGCATATTTTCACAATCATGCTAAATTTTTTGACAATAGGAATGAAATTCCTACACGTGAACAGTCGATATTGTTCTCTTGAAGCATGAACAGTGTGCGTTGAGAAACGAAAATGGCCATGGCAACTGAAGAGTGAGAAGCAATACGTCTGCTGATTCAAAATTTTAAAAAGAGAAATACATCTATCGAACTTGTGAGTGAGTATTTTTTTTATCGTTCTGCGGCCGACTGTATCCGATATATTGCCTACTTTGCAGCAATATATTGATAAAAGAAAAAAGCAATGGAACAATACATTCTGCTAATGATACCATCGCATCTGTCGTTTCTTGTTACTATATTTAGAAACGTTTCTTTAACACGTTGTTTTTTCCCCAATAAAATGGTCTTTTTTCACATTAAAAAATAGATGATTTCTTTTTAGCAAGTTCTATGCTTCTCGAAAGCGAAATTTTAATTACACATTTTTCCATGCTCGATGAGCAATACCCAAAAATAAACTGCTTATCAAATTAGCATCAGAAAAAGGCATGATTTAGCTACATAGATTGTGCTAAAAATGAAAGAAAAATTATTAAAAAAATTATATCTATTAAGTGTAATAGGCTTAGCTCTATACATGCAAAATATCATGAATTGCATGCAAGATAGTAACATGTTTGCTTGACTTCTTATCATCATTGATAAAAAGAAAGGAAAATATATCGTGACCGAACAGATAATGCTTTAATGAAAAATTTAATCTTCCAATAGCTCTACTTGATGAAAGATCAAGCGTTTTTTATCGTTATTTCCTATGAAACGAATGTACAAGAACAATTCAATGTTAGGATTGAACTAGAAAAAATTAGAAAATATGTAACAGCCTCAAAATAATTACATTTTCTACGAGCAGTCTCGCTCAACGACAAAAGATGTTTTCTCCACCCTATACGATCCCACATGATTTTTGCACAAGCTGACGCTGCTATCAGTGCAATTTTTAATTCTCACATTAACGCTGAGTAATAATTGACGTTATAGAAATGTTTCTTTGCGTGTTATAGGAGGTATTTAATATCCTATTACCGGTTCCTTTTGTTTAATATCCAAAAATAGATATATTCAATCTAATTTTTAAACAAAACTTACATCGGCATGAAATGTTAGATTCTTGTTCGAATAATTAATTCTTAACCTAATTGTGTAGCAGCTGAGAATAAATAGTAAATTAATTAAATTTTTTTGATTTATGTTTGATTGTGAAATACGCCTATTCTATCAATTTTGGTTTAGTTTGCTCTTTGGAACATTCTGAATCCTTAGATTTATTCAACAAAAAAATGAAATTTACATAGTTCAAAGTAGATTTTCAATATGAATATTCCTTCGTTTTATTTTTAACATCCACGGTTTTACATTATTCATTTCATAACATTACGATATGTTGCATGAACTTCTAATAAGACACAACAGATTGCTCATAAGAAAATAATTAAAAGCAGTGACAATAGTTAATTGATCAACATGCTGTTTTTGAAGTTGAAGTAATCTATCTCGGAAATATAGACTCAATTAACTCCTCAGTAGTTCATGAAATAGATTATATTATTGCATTTTAATATCGAAAGAACATCAAGAATAGATTCATATACGAAATTTTGCAAAGTATTGTTATCGGTAACTAGATGATTGTGCCAATATTAAAATTATGTCTTACATTTCTTTTTTCGTTTTTTGAAAGAATCTTTTTTTCTAACTCGATCAAATTAGGGCGCAATAGCAAACATCTGTTTAAAAAAAATATGTAGGAGAAAAAATCATGACGATGTTATTCTTTTTTGTTGAATAGAAACAACTGTCGCCCTATGTCAATCAATAGGAATGTGAATAAGCCAATGTTCTTTTATATATATATATATTTCGAATATGTGATTTAATATAAATGGTTAGACGCTAATGTAAAAAGAACATATACAGTTCACTCCAACATAGAGAATATTTGTCATGGCAAGCATTACTTTACTTGTGTGTTAATTAGTATTCATTTTTAGATGCTCGAAGAGAAGATATCTGAACGATATAATTACCGCGCATGAAATTGTTTAGGGTCACGATGACATATCAAGAGTTATATATGCACTTAACAGCGGAAGAACTTTGTCGTTTCTTTGCGCATCGCATCATTGCGTTAAAGAAAAAAACTCTCGTGATTAAAAATGATTTCCAGAGAACTTGGCAAGACAAAAGGAAAATAAAATCCATCAACTGTGAGGAACGACAGATTGCAACCAAAGAACTTCTAGGATAACTTGTTTTTATGACTTCCAGGGAAGAAAAATATGGAATAAATAAATTGCTTCCTCTTCAAGCAAGAAATAAAGGATGTTTGCTTCAGTTATCAAATAATTATGTTGGATAAGATACTTGTTAGCAACTCGCAATGTTAAGAATTTCTGTTCAATGTTCTATCAGCTCATACGAGTTTGGTACCTTTAAAAAGCATTTTAAGTGACTATTAATATTTATGAGGTCGATCAAATTTCGTGATATCGTTTTGTTTTTATTCATCTTTGTTATTTTCTTTTTAACAGCAACATTAGCCTTTCATACTAAAAAAGCTTCTATTTCTATCTCGATAATAAGTAGTAAGATTTCTTTTCAGAATAAATATAAAACTCTTAAATAGTGTCTCAATAAAATGGCTGCTGATGAAATACAATAAAAACTCGATTCAATGCTTTTTTTTTTCTTATTAAACAAAATAAACATGAAAAGTCAGCAACATATATCTAGTTTCGTATGCTGCATCAATTCGAACAAAAAAAAAATACTATAAACAAAATAAAGTAACAGTGACAACACTATAAAAAATAAACAACAACCCAAAAGGAGAAAAATTCAAAAGAATAAACCTTTTTGCCTTATCGTCAATCTTGAGATCATATATAAATTTGAAGGCTTCATTTTAACATAATTTTAAAAGAAACATTTTCTATTTACACATCATCACGCAGCTTTCATACTAGAAAGAGGAATTCATCAGTTGAGAATCAAAAGAAAAACAAAAGTTCAGCAGTACCTTCTAGTATACATGAGGCGACTTCTTTGTGATATTGTTCGGTGATTGGAATGAGAAGTTCAAGGACCTATAAATACAAGCCATACAATAAAATAACAAAAACGATTGTTTCGAAACGTACTTGAGTAATTTTGCTGAGCATTATTTTCCCTTTGGTTTCGCCTCGATTTTGGCATAATTCTGAATAGAGAGCATAATGATAACAGGATCTTAGCATTTGAGGTATTTCTCGATCTTCCATAGTTGAATCTAAATAGGAAAACAAAAAATTAACATCAATTAAAGATCAAATAGAAAAATAATTTACCATCATAACAAGCATAATACACTAAAAGCGCTGAAAATTCTTTTTCACTCAAATTAAGTTCACGAACGCGTCGGCAGAAATCAAATACAACATTTCCAAATTCATCAGTGTGTAAATAACGCATCCAACAACGAGCTAATTGAAAACCGTTCGGAGCAAGAAGATAACATTGACCATTGTCATTATATAGTTGATGATATCGAAGCTAAAATAATGAAATTCAAAAGGGTAAAATCTTTTCTTCTTCTTTCTTTAAAACAACGATTTACCATAAACCAATCGAATACTCGACGAGTTAGCAATCGCTCAAGGCTTTTTACACTCATATTTTTCATTCCAGGCAGCTATATATTATAAAAAGAACTTGTAGAAAGAAATAAAAATAAGATTTGATTTAATTTACTTCTTGAACGTATAGTACTGTCGCACGAGTAAATACTTGGCAACACACTATAAAAACATAAATTTTAAATTTCATTCGAAAAATAAACAGCTCCAATAACATACATCCAATACTTCGAAAATATTCTGCAACGGTTGCACTATCGCCTGGACATTCGTGAATATTATTTTCAATCATTTGATTCATTCGAGATACTAATTGTTTTTGGCGTCTCGAGCGTCGAAGAAAAATATCGTATGACATAGAACGAAGATATCTAAATAATCAAATTTTGTTCTTAATTTCTAAGTATAAAATCAAATAAAGTTTTAGATTTCAGTGGGAAATCAGTGGCCGAGCAAGAATTTCATCCTCATTCTGGAAAAGAATAGTTTGCGTGGGTGGAAAATGGTTTTGCCACTAACCGATGACATGAACATCTGTCGCTCATTACTAATATCATATCACACTATTGGAAACATTTTTAGAAGTACGATAAAAGCAGATATTCTATTGAATAGTTATGCCGAAAATAAACTTGATTTCAATTAGCAAACTTCTCTATACTCAAAGAAAAGTAATATGTGCAAAGTTAAATTACCGAATAAATCTTGCTTCTTCATCGTTGAGTCTAGTGTCTAAATTCAATGAATTTCGACCTAATTTGTTTGCTATCGCTTTTACATATTGTAATTCTTCATTATTTAATAGGCCCGTTGCTAGTTGAGATAAACCATCTGTTTCATCGACTGTAAAATCGTTTGGTAAAAATGTTGGATATTTCGTTCGATATGTAAATTGTTTAATTTCGTCTTCTCGATCATTTGCTGATGTTTTCGATTTCATATCTGGCAAGCTATTGTATGCTGGCAGATGCGATTCAACTGTTGAATTAAAACTACTATTTAAAACGTCTATTTGATGATCATCGATTGATCCACTCGAACTTGAATTTATTTCGACTTCAAACTTTGCACATGTATTCGAAGAATCATCTTGCATTGGAACAGATGGCACTTGCGCTTCAATAGAATCTAGTTAATAGAATAAAATTATTTTAATGAAGAACAAAATTAACACGAATATATTCATACCTGTTTCCATTGTATTTGAATCGTCATTGTCAATGCTGCGATCCGATGATGAACATGATAATGTGTTTGCTTGCATTCCATTTATTTCACCATTTGATGTTGTTCCTTTTGTTTTTTGTTCTTGCAATTCTTTTAAAGCTCTTTCTTTCACTAGTTTCGGTATTCGACCCATTTTCACACCTTTTAAATGAAATTTAATGTTGCTCGTTCATTCTATTTCTGAATATTCTTTTCGTCTTACCATCAACAGACATGCCTTGATTTGTACACTGTCGAAAACGACAAGCTTTACATCGATTACGATTGGCCACGTTGATAAGGCATGCATTATCAAAATAGCAGCGATATTTTTCTTTACGTAATATACTTCGTTTGAAAAATCCCTAAAGTTAGAACAAAACAAAAATAAGTCGAACGACTAACCGTGCATATCTCATTACCTTGCATCCTTCACAAGTTGCAATGCCATAATGAATACCAGTAGCAGAATCTGAACATACTCGACTAGAGAAACAAAATATTTGCCCTGATTTTTATTTGGCTATTAAAAACAAAATTCTTACCAAGCTCCAAATGGAAATGTTAATCGTGATCGTTTGCCTTTCGATGATTTTTGAGATAGATCTGAATCCCTTTGTTCATTCGCGATGATTTCATCGTTGCCATCGACCATTTTCATAAATTTATTCTCGGGTATTTTATTTGAGGCGACGACGAAAATACTTTCAGTCAATATAAATATACTAAAATGATCTATAACAAATAGCAAACACAGTCTCACAATGAAGATGATAATGTCGGTCGAATGAATCGCTTTATTTTGATGCGACTCATATTTAGTCGACACAATTTGAGAACACTGTCAGTAAAGGAAAGAAAAGAAAAAAACAAATATGCGGTTGCATAAGAAAGCATATCAAGGGCAATGAAAGCTACTATACAAGTACTAGTATGGCCTATATCATTAACAACTTCTATTTGAATAATCATAATTGAAAGCTTATGGTTTCGAAAGTTCGTTTCTAACTTTATTTAAACTAATCAAATATTATTCATTTGTAAATTACCCATAATACAAACGACGAATTCCATTGAAAAATAAATAATTCTAGGTATTTTAATAACAATAGAGGAGAATTATATACATATTATTTTTGATTTATGAACTCACATTATTCAAGTTTTAGTAGATTTACATTATCAAACGTACTGGTGCAAAAGAAAAAATAGAAGTGCGCTGAGAAAGACGAACGATGGAAAGACGTAGTTGGGCATAACATACACACGAGAGAAAGGAATAAAAAAAAACATCAAAAGAACAACCAAAAAAAAAAAAGAAAAAAAGGAGGTCGATTAAGAACGTTGATGTTCCTTCGATGAAAAATTCTTGTGTTGGTTCGCGAGTACCTATAATACTTCTATGAATAATACACGTGGTGATTAGCTACTCATCTTGTACAGTAACGAAAGAAAAGAAGTAGTGGGTCAATTTTGCTTTTAGAATTTTGTTTTTTGACGCAGACTCTAGAAATACCAATTATTCCTATAGATGTGAAAACTCGAAGAAACAAAATACGCCGAACGATCATTGAGTAGTGTGCAGGATTTTCCTCCATTAAATGATTACCTTGGACTATGAATATTCGGATGCTGATAGAATTACGTACATAAATTGATATATGAATATAAACAGACAAATATTAATGCGAGTAATAAGTAATAGATAAAGTTAAGGGCACAGATAAAGACAAAACGCAATATACTGACTGTCTTACTTTGAAGAAAAGCAATGCAGTATATCTAATTCTATGACGAAGTCTTTTGTTAACTAGAATATACTCTATACACCCTTGAGAGTCTATAGAGTGTGGGTATGGGCCAGCAGTGTCCAAGGATTGTGAAATAGAAATTCCTAATGTGTATAGGAGTTGTCAGTGCCGCTGTGATAATTCCTAGAGGAAATGGGAATCAACTGTAGGTTCCCTCACAGTTCCACCATTCACGAAAGTTGCGATATTGCTGTTTTAAAAATAATTTTTGCATGAAATCATTGATACTCACAATTTTTCACGTGAAATTAAGTGTAAGAACAAAAATCATCGTGAATATTCCATATTTTTACCTTTCGTATGCAAGGAGCTGTAGCGGAACTGATGAGGAACTCCTAATCCTCAGTCCTTGGGCACCCCTCACACACAGACATGAAGGGCCAATTGAAATATATCGGACGTTTGCTATCAATATAGTCTCTTTTCTCTTGTACATTATTAATCATTATTCTTATTGTTATTAATAAATATTTTCATGTCTTACTTACATGTTTACTTCTAAATATTTTTGTAAGCAAGTATCCTAGCGAGCAACTGTTCTAGCGAGCAACTAACCTAGACCCATTTTTTTCATTTATCCAGCCAACAGATTGCTCTTACCGAGAACATTCATTGAGAAGACATGTTTAATAGTCGGGAATCCCATGCCACATACTATCAGAGTGAATTATTACATGTGATGAATTCACAAATAAGAATTATGTAGCTGTCATGACAAAAGCAAATATTTAATCAGGAAATTCGATTATGAGCATCAGTGTTTGAAGTAGCTCGGCCAGAAAGGTGACGAGTACTTGTCTTCCTTTTTTTCTACTAGGTAAATTTTTAATTAAATAATCCTACCTCAATATTCCTAGAGTATGACATAACAATGCTAAGAATAATAATTATTAGCATTCTCAAATATATATTTCTGAGAAATATGGCAAAACTTGAAAGCGTACAATTTTTACTTCAATTCTATTTTCGAAATTTAGGACAAGTAGTCATTTGATGAATCACGTTGAATAAACATAATTTATTCCAAACAATGCGTGGTGCATTACACGAGCATGGTTGTTGGCACAGATACAAACATACTTTTAACCAGCAATTGTTAGTCTCCTTGGTTTCATGTACGAGAGAGAGAGAGAGAGAGGAAAAATAAGTTCGATTACGTGCAATAAAAAGTTCCTTTGTCAGCTGTCACGTTCTTTAGTTCGATGGAAAATCCCTGGATATAGAAGAAACTTGTAACTACTATTCTTTACTATGAACCGAAGAAAATAGCAAACATATCTGATGAGCATTTAATGAATCAGGCCATCATCGATGCCGATGCATCGCCATGAGGCAACAAAAAGGAGTCGCATTTGTTTGTTTTTCTTGTACACTATGTTTTAATAAATCAATTAGGAAAATCATTTAAACGCTTTGTTATCAGAACAACAAAGGAAATGATGGGAAAAAAAGAAGGAGGCACATTCACATAAATTCATTTGAGACACACAAAGAATAAAAGAGAACGCAGAGACTATTGACTCTGTTAACAAACATACACTTATGTTTATTTTTTCGTGATTTGCGTCGTTACATTTTTTTCCTGCTCAAACTAAAGAAAAGAAGAACGCTGACAGATGTGTACCTTTTTTTTATCATTCGGAAATCGGATCGATGCATTAACTATATAGTGTAGCACATGAGTAAAAAGAATCAGAACCGAGAAGAAAACTGCGCACGTATACACACAAATAGACAAAAAAAAGAAGAAGAAAAAACAGAAAGAAAATGTTCCATTAAAGAGAAATCAATTCATGTTCGAGTTTCGTTTTGTATTTTTTCCCCATCATCATCATTCGTTATTGCAGTTCGTTTCCAAATGCACACACTGTTTGAGAAAAGCACTACTTTGTTTGTGTTTTTTTTTTGAACGAGAAAACAATAACAATAACAGAGTGACACTTTTGAGATGGCTTATTCACTGCAAACGATAACTATATTTATATAAACTGTTATAAGACGAGTAGTGCGCATGTAAAACTGCAAAATCTATTTGTGTGTATGTGTGCGTAATTATTTTTAGGTTTATTAATTGCACTGTTGTGAATAAAACTACAGCTAAGAGTGGATGAGGTGAGAAGGGAGAATGAATGACGGAGAGCGAATAGCACCTCTATTGCACTCCGATTGCGCGCATCTAAGAGGAGGCTAAATTCAAAATTTATATACATCGAAACAGACAAAAGGAGATCAAGATTGACGAGATAAGGAAAAAAACTTGGCGACAAGAACACGAATACATTAAATTGATCTATTGAGATAAAACAGAGAGAAAATTGATCTAGCAGAAAGAGAACGATGACAAGTAAATAGATGAAGATATGAGCAGCTTTAGGATTTGGGATTAATTCTACCACTAAGCAAAATACATGACTTGAGCCGAATCCGGATGTACGGTAACTGCCCGACTCAATTGGACTTGTTGTTGACCATTGGAATCACCGTTCGATGATTGATGTGAACCTTCATTACTAAAAGAAAAAGAAAGATATTTTAGAATATTGTTTGTAAAAAGAACACTGCGATATACCTTTCGGGTTCTCTTTCAATTAAATGATATCGTGCGCGAAATGCAACTAAATGAGCATAGTAAGCCGGTGCTGGTATTGATACTGAACGTGTACATCTGACATATGTATGGCAAAGTTGATATGTTAATGCTTGAAGTTCATCCGATGAAAAACTGTTATCATCCCAAAGAACATGATAATGTGATGGTCGCGATGTACCTTGAATGCCAGCATGTGAACATAAATAAAAGTCATATTCAGTTGGATGTGTAATTGCAACATCGACTGTGGTGCCTGGTGGAATATTGCCACTTTTTCCGCACTAAAAATAATATCGAGCAAAATGTTTCTTTTTGTCTATTCTACAGTATTTTCTTCGCCTATCGAACAAGGACATTCCTACTGTTCTATGTCGCTTGAACTTAAATAAAGATCAGTTGTTTTTAAGGGTTAAAGAATCCATTTAAATGAAAGACAACAATGACAAGAAAAAAACAACAGAAACGCAATTGAAAGATATATCAAGGCTGTTGTTGACATAGATCAAAATTGTTACAATGACTAATCGAAATATCAAGGTTGCTATATTTCAGATAAAATTTTCACTTTTCAATGCCAACGCAGTAGGAGTGTATCTGATTCATTGTGCGGCAATAACTCGGGTTATTTATTTCCCGACAAATTTGCATTATATTATACTAATATATCGGTGCATATGTACAATATTTATTCTGTCAAGGGCATTTTTTCTCGCATGGTAGAATGAGATGAGTGGCCTTTGTTTGTTATTTATTTTAAACTAAAAATACAACCAAGGACATGCTTGAACTGAGTGCATCATGTAGAGACGAATGAATTACATACGATGATAAGGAAAAGAACTATTTTTAGAAAAATAGTATGACGTGATAAGCTGATGTTTACTTATTTTAAAATATAATTGACATACTAATCGTGCTTAATTGGGTTATCTCTTGTTTAACTTATAGGAGAGATTCAGGAACTTCAATTCCTTAATACTAATGCTAAAAATACAAAAAAAATGACCTACTTTCAAATTGCGAACACAAGCTTTATATATTCCGTTCTTTTAATGAGATCTATCGCATGCAGACATTTGAACTCTCGCTTCCGTAAAAATGTCTCTTTTTAAACTAATTTTCAATGCTTACTCAATTCAATCAGCTGTAGTTAAATGAAAAATATGCACTGATCAATTTACCTGTTCTTTTTTATCGGCACAGAAAAGACGTGTATGATGACGCTTTTGAACAACAATAAATGTAATACCAGGTTGATAGGCAGCTTCAAGTCGAACGCATGCTTCACGTACAGCCATTAATTCATGTGCAAGTACATGAGCAAATTGTCCTTCACTAACGCCATCGCGATATAAAATAATTCGTGCTGGTTTAAAACGTGTTGATTTATAAAATTGTATAAGTAATTCTCTAACCATGGTTGATAATTCTGCGATAACCTCATGACGATGCATTTGTATACGTACCGTAGCTGCATACCGCGAGGGATGAGCATCCATTGAAGCAACGACCTTCAAGCAAAATATTTTATGTTTTTATTGTAAAAAAATAATTTCAAGAAAATTTCTAACTAGAAGAATTCACACATTAAAGCTTATCTTATATCAATGAAGTAGCTTATTGATAATAAGCGGATTTTACTTACAGCTGCAATCGATGGTTTAGAACGATCACCAGCTGGTGGATGTGTTACATCAGCACCAATAAATATAACTGGCTCACGAAAAACACTGATTGGTCGTACACTTGGCACAAGAATATTATTAACTCCGCCTAATTTCACATTAATTTTTAAGCATAAATTTGATAATGTTTGCGGTGTTGTCTTGTTAACATTTTTAGCTTGTACGCATTGTGTTGCTAATCCAATTAATGTATCACCAACACGTTTGACTTCAGCATAAACAGGTGTTTTTCCAGGTAAAACAACAACAATTAATTGTAAACCATTATATGTTGTTTTAAGAAATTTAAACATCGGTTCGACTTGTTCAATGCCTGTTGCATATTTGCAAAAACATGGTTGGCCAACAATTGGCATGCCAGCATCATTGGAAATTCGTTGTAATTGTTGCGTAAATGTGCGAAGTGCAGCTTCATTACAATTTCTTTGCGGAGCAAAACATGCGATTGCCCATGTACGAATTTCAATACCAGTATGAAATTGTTTACCTCGCATATCCCATACACCTTGATTTGGTGTCACAATAACTTTTGTCTAACGGAAATAAATATTTAAAAATATGATATTATATACAAAGTCAATATTCTTACTCGTCCACCATATTGAATTTTTGGAGCTGTCAAAACGCGTCCCGTAACTTCAGTCATATTTGTGAAGATATTAATGCCAAAGTGTGTGATATAAACGTCATTATTAAATTCCGCTTTTCTTACCTAAATGAAATAATAATTCAATCCTCGATACTCTATTCCAGCCGAGTAGATAGTTAGATGTTGATTATGATACTGATAGAGTTTACATTAAGTGACTTCATTACGTTGTCGAGGGCTCTCTTTAGATTTATTTTCCCTCTATTATTCGATCTGTAAACCTTACTCATCATACATTGTTTAGGAAAATCTTATAAAAATGAAAACGTTGATAGAATTTCAGGCAGCCGTATTAGAATAAATACTTGAGAAAACATAACTTACTAGATTATTGATTTCTTTTTCCCGATCAGGTGCTGATCGTGCAGTAGCCTAAAATAAAACAATAGAAAAGGTAAATAAATAAAAGCTAAATCAATACGATCGAATAAAGAAGAAAGAGACGTGCTATTGGCTGGTTAACGTAACTGAAGATATGTTTTATTTATTTCGCATGACTTTCGTCATAACACATTCGTTCCTATCTATGTTATTATCATTAAAAAAATAAAACGTATCCAACATTTTTTGTTTTTTTTTTAAATTTTATTTATTCATCCCAAACAAACAGCAGTTATATTTGCGCGTGTACTCAAATGGTTTTATTGTTCGCGCGCGCGAATCGAGCACAAGAAAAATTAAAAACCACTAGTGCACATAGGTGTTTTATTGTGTATGAATTTTTACCTGAGGTAGTTCTTGTTGACTCTACAATAGCATAGATAGGAACGATCTCAATTATATATAATATGTACACATATATGTGTAAGAATACATTCCGAAGAAGAATATCATGCTTAATCAACTCTACCTCACTACACTAGAAAAATAAAAACATTTTCGGATAAGAAAAAAATTTCGATTTCTAATATTTATAAACTAAGAATCTCGTATGGAAAGCAGATAACGTACCTTGATCATTGTTGATGTTTGCATATCAGTTAATTTTTTGATGCATCGTTGTCCCGGAACAATATTACAAACCTATAAAACAAAATAGAGCGATCAATTAATGTCGATTGATTTCTGTTTTGTTTTTACTTCAAGAGGTAAATAAGTATGTTTTTGTTCTTGGCCAACTTGTAAACATGGCAAATGTGAATATTGTAATTTAATATGATGTTTTTCGTAGAAATATTTCGCAACAGTACATTCAACAGTTTGACCACTTTCAAGTTGCAGAGGAAACCTGTACGATGTTGATAAATAAGTATTATAGTCGAGGCTATTTTTTTTCTTATGCTTACGTTTGATATTGTGCTGGCTTTCGTGTTACATTACAAACACGATATTTACGTTTCATGTTACCACAATGAGTTATTTCAATTTTAAGGCCTAGAAATTGATTATTGATTATTTATTAGTTAATCTAGTTTTTTTCGCATTAAGGGTCCGACACAGAACAGTATCTATGATGCATGATTCTTCGCTTCGTTGACATAATCAAGCATCATATATTTTGTCAAATGTTTCACAAAACAAAGGGCTTCGTTGAATGAGATCAACGATGCGTCTCAATTGCCAATTTTACTCAAAAAGTCGATTGATAGCAATTAATGTGCATTTAAAGATTCTCGAATTAAATACACTTGGCTATTAGTCATGAGATAGAACGTTCCTACTTATTGCCTTTACGAAACATAATATAGAAATTATTTCTATTAATAAAATAAATCTTCTAGTCGAAATTTTTTATGTTCTTGTATTTCATATGAATATCAATGTTATTTATATTATGCGTCTATGTGTTTAGCAAAAACAATATATATATATATCATGATCCGATACTCGAGGGATCAGTGTTATTATATTGCATGAAAGGAAGGTAGAAATGCCATTTTCTATAATCTGACATTTATTTAATGTATGTATCCTACTGAGCAGTTAGACTCTAAATACTAAAGATTTCACTTTCAGAAATTATCTCAAAATGATAATAGTGTACTATAACTATACAAAGTTGACTAGACACTCAATGAGTTCTTATCTAATCGTCAACAAGTTTCTTACCTTTAATTTCTTTCGTAAATTTAACGCGTTGTGCATCATTTAATGGTCGTCTTTGTTCTTGAATATCACGTATATCTAATACTTCACACATAAAATCGATCACTGGTTGTGATTTATAGAAAGCAGTAGCACTAACTATAGAAGAAAATAGTTTGCAAAAAAAAATATATATATATATATAATTGATGGAAATCATGAATATTCTACCATCAATATTTAATGACATTCGCCAATAAGATGGTCGAACTGATTGATGAAAACCAAACCATACTTCACGACCACCACCCAATGGATTATACTGAATATCAGGTGGTGAAAAAAAAGAACGGCCAACTGGTGTATATCTAAACGAAGATTCATATTTTTTTATAGGTAAAATGTATTATGATAGAAGAATCAAAAGTCAATATAGAAGCTCAATATTTCAAACCTGTATACTCTATACATAATAAAATGCTACGATTAGTTTTCATACTTTGTTTTTGGACAACTTTATTCGAATAGATACTTACTTCATACTCGGTAAATGTCTCATAATAACATCAAGTGCAGAAACAGCTTCATTGGGTACCGATGGTCCATTGCCTTGTAAAGCTTCTTGTAAACCTCCTAAACTAACTTGTGCAACCCATTTTATTTGAACTTTAAAACAACGATCACGTCCTTCTCCAGGTCCAGGTAAAGTAACTTCAAGTTCAATACGTTCTCGACCAAATGGTAGGGGATCTTTTGTATATAAATTTCTCTTTCCATCGAATGCTGGATGTTGAGTATTAAATATGTTTTGAAATTTATTAACCATTGTGTCAATGATCTCTCGATTAACTCGTTTTGGACATTTATCTGGCTGTATATTAAGGTCGTAATGTTGTATAATTATCTGTGGTATACGAATTGCAAAATGATTTGCACGTAATTTGATTGAACGACCTTCATGGCCGAAATCTGGTCGTGGTGGGGGTGATAGATCTAGTGGAGGATTAAGCATCGTCATTATACCACTTCCAGGTACTGTCGATGGCATTGATGTCATGTGAGGTGGGGGTGGAAGACCAATAGGATTTGCTGATGAAGAACCTGACGAGTTTGCACTTGTATTAATAGCACTATTTTGTTGTTGTTGTTGATTATTATTTCCACTACCTTGTACCGATGAAGAAGGTGGTTGACCAATAGGTGGAAGGTACATGTTAAGTTAAGAATTAAAGATGTCTATGTGTATGTAGGTTATTTTTCCGTCAACGAATGCGCTAACAATAAAAAATTATTTTGGTTGAGGCTTTCATTCGACGAACTATACTAAAATATATTCGAAAAAGGTATTGATAGATAATAAACAAAAAACAGAACATTAATAAGATGAGAGTAGTAATTATTTAGACAAAACATGCTGTACAAATACAATGCTCATGGCCATTACGAGTCATCTATTCTCTATACATGCAGGTATTTATGTTGTTTAATTAAAATAAATCAAGATAAAATAAATATTCGACAAACAAAATCAAATATTAATTTAAAATTTATGAAACACAAAATGAACAAGATCGAAATGATTTTTTTATGCTTGTAAAGAGGTCGCTAATATCTGGTGGGGGTAAAAATGCCGATAAATTAGAACGGATTAATAGGTTTGTTTTGTTTCTGGGAATATTCTGTGTTGTGTTGCGATAGTTCTATAGGCCATTTTGATTAGAAATCAAGATACTCTCGATCGAAGAACAGTAATCAGTAAGGCGGTTTTTCCAGCAAGAGAAAATAAAACTAGTTGTTCTACATAATTGATGCAATTGCATATATTTGATAATTAAAACATTCGAGGACTGAGTATTCAAATTAGGGAACAAAAATCTTCGCTGCAGGTAATACATTGCATGCGTGTATCTTCCTCATTCTGTAATATATATATATATATATATATTCATAGTAGCAAAACCAGAAAATCTTTTTTTCGCTGCTCTACGAAAGTTTTATTCTTTTAACATGGATTTATAGGCAATGCTCTTGATTTTATAAACTATTTGTTACGCTAAGATCACTTTGAAATTTAACGTAGTCAAAAAAGAAAAGACAGTAACTTGTCGAGTAGAATCAAGGTTTTCTTGATTGAATTTTGTTTTTCTATCAAAGCAACCTCCTGGGTTCTTCATCATGTATGAAAATATTAATAATAAATTAATCTCTCTGAATAGACTTTGCCTAGCAAACAGGTCATGTTTAAATTGCAAAGTAGAACTTAATTCAGTCTATTCTTATTGATCTTCACTTTGAAAATATTATGTTAATATATTTGATGGAGTCGGTACCGAAACACGCTAGTCATGATCTCATCTCTTATGAGAGTGAAATAACCCTTGAGCAAACAAAGTAAAAACATTTTATTTCTCCACTGGTCATAAACATAATATATCGAAAAATATATAATTGATAGCTTTTCTTTCAATCACAATCATTTGTCAGAAAACTGTTTCGCATCCTACAAATTAGAATTCGTGAAAAAATGTTATAGCTATCATTTCTTTAGATAGAAATAAATCAAGATCGACGTTGTCGTGAACTAGCTGCTACGTTTATGATTGATTTAACGTAGGATAGTGACGAATCCAAAGGACTTAATGTATCATGCGATTTTCTACTTAGTAATTCATTAATAATCTCATCTGGCTCAAGATCGTGTCTGATCAAAAGACGGGATCTTGCTTGAAGATATTCTGTAATAACTGGATTAATCCATGCAGTTGATGATCCGGGTGCTTTTGTTCGAACATGAGTAGTGTCTCCTCGGTGATGTGATACAGTTGGATGTGAATCAGCAGTTTGTACCAATGGAAATGGAGGCTTCATAGTAAGATTTAAAACCGATAGGCGTCCATTTCGATTATCTGCATGGCTTTCCTAAAACAAAACGAGATATTATCTTTTTTCATCTACAGAAAATTCTCATTACTTGTTGTTTAAATTTATTTTTGTCACGATTCTTTTGTTTTTGTTCGTATCGGTCAAATAAATGCGTAAGATCATCGCTTGATTGAGTTTTTATGGCTGGTTGATCAAGAAAAACTCGTGCTAATTTATTTTTAGCAATAAATAAATGATTATTAGCAAAATCATTACGACGATATGGTCGATGACCATCATTACTATCCTTAGTCGTAGGTATGGTTGGTAGAAATGAGTCAATAAAACTTAAATCTTCAATCGACGATCGTTCAGATTTTACAAACGATGATTTTGGCTGTTGTTGAGTATTTAATGGTACACGGTAATATGCATTTGCTTGTTTACGTCGGCAATAGTATGCAGCAAAATAACCTGTATTTAAATTCATCTATGATTGTTTTTTCTATTGAATGACTTTATATTTTTCAACGTAATGCTGCCTGCACTGTTTTAATTATAACGGAAGGGAATGGAAAACGAGAAAAGAATGGCCAAAGATTGGCTTTGTCAAGTATGAAGCACTTTTCTCTTCGTCATTTTCTTTTTATTTATTTATAATACTTATTAAATGAACAGAACAAAAAGGGGGAAATGATTTATATTCTGCGTTGCTGCTGTTACATGTCTTCAATGTCAGCTCGTAAATAATCAATGAGACGACTGATTTCAATAATGCGCTTGCGATTTCGTTTATATTCTTCTTCATCGTGAATATTGTCCATCATTGTTGTCAACCAATTTGATATACGTGAAAACATTTCATCTTCACGTTGATCGATTTTAGTTCGATGAAATTCATCGGATGTTTGGCACGCATTCATTATCGTATCTTTATCGGCAAAAAGCTATTTAAATTTAAAAAAAAAAGCAGCAGAATTAGAGTATTTATCTTGATCAAGTATTTAAACTGCAAACCTCTCGTGTATCATCAGGAAATTCATCCTCTAATTCACCTTTCATGACACGTTCGACAGTGGCAACACATAAATTAACAATTGAGTCATTAAAATAGGCTTGTAATTCACGTATTTGACTAAAATTTGCACGCATAGACTCCGTAAAATTCGAAACCATTTCACCTAAATTTCTTTCAAATGTTTGAATAGTATCCTGAATCGATGAGATTAAACAAAATTAGATAAATATACATATATATATATATATATGTAAATAGATTACTTCTAATTGATCAACAAGCGTAATTTCTAAAGCCATTAGTTTATTACGAAGAGTTGTTAACGCTTCATCATATTCAGTTGCAACCGCTGGTGATACGCCTTGTTGTTCAAGATCTTCTTTTGCCTAAGACGATAAACAAGAAAATGTTCTAGTAAAATTCTTTTGAATCGAAAAAAAATATAGTGCAACTTGTTAGTTATTTTCGATTAATAGTGAGCGATTCTATATCATGGTTAGTCTATTGACTAGTTAAAACTAAAATTTAGTACATAAGCGCGATCGAAAGACGATGACTCACAAATAATGTTGATCTATAAATTTTAAATTCATCTACAATTGTTGCAGCTAGACGTGTATTTTCATTTTTCGCTTCAGTTACACATATCCAAAAATCTTCAATTTCTCGATCTCTCAATTCTTTTTCCTAGAAAAAAAAAACGAAATTTTATGTTATTTTCTTCAAAAAGGAAAACTCTTACTTTCAAACCGAATTCAAACATCGAAGTTATTATAGTATTAAATTTTTGTTCGAATTGAATCATTAGTTCGTCAGAGCCAGGCACAAGAATTAATTTTTGACCTTCCGTGTCATCTTTAAACATGCCGGAGAATAATTGATTTTGATCCATATTTTCAACAAATGCATCCTGCAAAGATTAACTTCAATAAATAGATAAAACTTAAAACGTTTTTCTACTTTATATAATCGATGCTGTTTAGATTGATCTTCGACAGCTTTTTCTTTCTCTCGTTCTTGTTCTTCAAGTGTTATTAACTGTTGTAATTGAATTTCATATTTTTTTGTTGCTTCTTCTCTCTAAAATATGTTTTTTTTCAATGCATTCATAGTGCCAGTAAGTTTGTCTTACGGGTGCTTCGTCAATCAATTTGTAATCAAGAAAATGAACTTGTGGTAAATGAGAGATTGTATATACATAATAATCTTGCTTAGATGCAAATGGATTGCCACGAAGACAGAGAGTTCGTAGATTATCAAATCGACGTAAATAACGAATCTACAGAAAGGCCAAGTTTTAATTAGGATTTCATGTAAGAACATTGTTCGTATAATTGAACTTAGAATTAAAGTATTACTATTCTCAAAAGAATGTTTTTTCCTTAAAATCTTATATCGAAATAACAACCATGATCAAACGTAACAAGTAAATATTCTCTTTACAAAAAGATTAGATTTCTGTGGATTTGATCGGAAAATTTCAATTATCTACTAAGAAACTACTCGGTTTTGTATATTTTGAAAATTCTTTGTTCGAAATAAAACTTCGGACTATGCTATATGAAGAATATTTTCTTACTAACGCTATTTTCATCGCCGACTTGATTATTTCCAATAGAAAAAACATTAAGTTTCTTAAGAGAATCCATATTTTCAAGAACTTCTATTCGATTATTATATAATGATAAATCAGTTAATTCAGTTAACGAATCGAGACCTTCAATACGTGTTATATTATTGAATGAAAGATCTAAAACAAAATTGTTTAATTTATTTAAAAAAAGAAAGATGCTATACGTATATATCAATTTTACCTAACCAAGTTAATTTATGTAACGTTTCAAGTCCTTCTATTCGCTCGATTATATTATTATCCATTTGTAATTTCGTTAAATTAGTGAACAACCAAAGATTTTCCATTCGGAGAATGTCTGTAAAAAAATAACAAATGAATATTTGTCTATTAAAGGTGAAATATATATATATATATATATATTATTTACTTCGAAAATCCAAACGAAGTACAACAACTTCACTATAATTTAATTTATCATCTTTTGGAATAACAAGACTTTCTCCATCAGCACGTAATGATTCAATGGCATACTGCAGCATACTCATTGATATCACTTCCGGTTCAATCGCATCGTATAAGCGAGCCATTTTTCGAATACTAAACTCGTCGGTTTTTGTCTTAGTGACAATTTAATTGATCATCATACTTTCATTTTACACGTTCTTGTAAGTTCGTTTCTAGGTGAGATGACAAATGAATTTTTATTGGCTAAAATTAATTTCAAAAGAAACATACTTATTATCTATCTAGAAGCAATTATCTTAGAGCATATTTTATTAGAAAAATTGATTTGAACAGTTTAATTCTTGTCTAATTATTATTGAATGAAAGCGACATCTGTCGAGCGAGAAAAAGTTTGCTGAAGCGATACCATTCATTTTTGGAAGCACACAATAATATACTCTGGTGACAGTATATTGCTTTCAGGGTAGCCTAGGAATGGACCAATTTTCGGCAGGTTATCAAATAAGGTACGTTGCTATCCGTATGTAACAAGAACTTGATCGGATATCTTGCTGAAAAGCTGCCCACTGCTTGTACGTACAATTGGAAATGCGCTATAAGAAAAACTTTCAGCAAAGCAAAGCACATAGATCTGACCAAAAATTCTGCAATTTAAAAAATCATTAAAAAAAAAGAGAAAGCTCAAGTTCAAGTTTTATTTTATTAAATGTTGATGATAGCTGCCATGATTATATATATATATATATCAAGTTGAATCCTTTCTAACAGCTTGTTAGAATTTTTTTTGAACTCTTTTTCGAAAATAATTTTAGGTACCTTGGATACCACATGGGCTAATCATATTTCATTGTTTTTAAAATTTAGTGAAATTTTGTTCGATCATGGTAGTTGCGTTCTAGCACTACTAGTGATGGGATGTGGATTTATTTTAGATAGGTTAGTCATAAGTTCTCTGATGGTAGCTTGCTTATTGCAGATGAATCGTCAAAGACCATTGTCCATGAAGACAGATTTTAGTCAAAACGTGGTTTAGTATATTCTTTAAATCAAATAGTCCTCAGTGTAGATAAAGGCAAGACTGTTGGTCACAAGTATTATATTGAAAATTGTCCGAAGCCTCTCATTAATAAAATATGGAAACAAACAGAGATATCAGGGCCAAAATGTACAAAATTACTTGACGATCATCTTTGACTCCATACTTATCCAATGTTATTAATTATATGACATAAGAAGACATCAATATAATGTCGTATCCAGGATGACCAGGTCTTCTGAAAACTAGGAAAAATTTCTGAATTTTGAACACGTTTCAGATTTTTTTTCTGATCTTCTGATTTTTTCTGAATTTGGAATATTTTCAGATCATTGCTTTGCCACTGAAATTAGGTACGATTATAACCCATTACTATAATAAATCAACAGTGTTTCATCAATTTTCTGTATTAATCGTCTTTTATATTTCGCCTTCGAATTCTGGAGTAGAATTGATTGTTGGTTATATGAATATGAAGTATTTATAGTCCGATTATCGTAATCCAGTAACATAAAACCAGATAATGCTTAAATTAAAATAAAAGCGATTGATAATAATTCTTGAGACGGTTTTTATTAGCATATGTTATCTTAAACAAACTTTCTAGAGCAAATTCCAAAAGATATGAAATATGAATAACGATACCGAGATGATGGAATTTAACGTTTTTTTTCTCGTTGGATTTCTTAATCTACGCAGAATGTATGTGATTTAGTTCTGCTCGTTTCTGTGAACGAGTTTTAAATTTAAAAATAAGCTCAACATTAAGTATCTTTTATTGATGTTTGCGTATTAGCTAAACAATATATTCACTATAGTTTCTTTCGTGTTATTTAAATATCTTTGAAAATAAAATTGCAGTCAGTGAACCGAAATGCAGCAGAATTTTAGATGTCAGTATTTTAGCGGAAGATCTACTAATTTGTCAAAAACTGCCATTTTCTGATTAATTTCTGATTTTTCAGAGATTGTTTCTGATTGTTTTCTGATTTTGAAAAAGTACTTTCTGACTATTCAATTTTTGATCTGGCCACCCTGGTCGTATCCATCATATTCCCCAGGCCTGCTAATAACCGAGAAGAAGAAAAACCAACAACTCTGTAATAGCGAATGAAAATCAATCACGAGGATTAGTCATAGTAGAAATAAATATTACGTAACAAATAAAACTAGAGATAATCACAACAGATAAAACGAAGAAACAGAACGACTAGCGTCAGTAAATATCATCTACTGACGCGAACACTTACGTTCGTTCTTATCTTTATTGGGCTTAAATACAAAAAGATGTGCGTCATTGCTATATAAGTCAAAAACCTAAAAATGTAAGCATTTTATATCTGTTCTGTTTTTGAAATACTTCCTTTTTTTATTGGTTCATTTGACTACAGATAGCTGATACTATGCAACTGTTATTGCTCTTTTCTGTATGTTTTGCTGTTTCGGCGCATTTTCAAGAGCACCACACTCGTGTAAGTAGGCATCAATAATTTAGTAGAATTGTTGTAAAATTGTTATTCTTACCCTCAGAGTGCTAACCGAAAGTGTCCTTGCAACATGTGTGAGATCAAGATTTCTAGTCCCGGTCTCGCAAATCTCTTGTCTTTATTCTCTTCTCCATCATACAGTGTTTAGAGAAAGTTATATGTACTATCTTGAGACTGTGGATGTGAGTGTAACTCTTTTATCCATCACATTATCACCATCAAACTGCATCTGAATGATGCCGCAATAAAAAATTCGTATGATGCGTTATAGAAATTTCCAGGACATTGAATGTATTTTGCATACAAAATGAATTTCCGGAAATTGAATCTGCTCATTGGACAAACCAAACAATTCAAGCAACTACGATTATCTTATAGGGCATATAAAGCATATATGGCATATTAGGAGTATAATGCATATAGGGGATATAAGGCAAATATGGCATATAAGGAGTATAGGGCATATAGGGCATATAGGGGATATATGGCATATAGGGCATATAGGGGATATATGGCATATAGGGCATATAGGGGATATACGGCACATCTCGTCTCTCTCTATGAGGGTGAAGGCATGGCGACTCTCTCTCTCTAATAGTTTTGCGGTGCATATGGGTTGCCGTCATCTTTTCTGCTATCTTATGGTTTGGGAGGGTGTGGGTGTGGGGTTTAATTCAATGCCAGAAACACAAACACACCCACACGCACACCCATCCTTTATATAAAAGAATTAATTGGAAAGTAATTTTGACAGTCACCGATTGGTATAAGAGTGAGGGTGTTAGTGGCAATGATGAAGGCTAAGATCTTTTCGGGAAATTACTTTTTATTAAGAATACATACCTTCGGACAGGATAGCTGTTGCTTGAGAAAAATCGTTGATGAAAATTATAAATAAAGTCGATCCCTGATTGAAATTATTATTTAAAAGATGCATTTTATAATATAATAAAACGAACATCTTGCTCAGTTCAACAATGGAAGCAATAACTATACATCATATAGAGGACAAAACTCACTATGCTTTCCTCAATAACGTATTGAAGTTTGATAGAAATGAAACGGAAGTAAGCGAGATTTCTGACAAAATCCTCTTCTTCATTCATATTTTGTGAAATATTTAGTCCTCGAATGAAGTTTATTCGAAGAGCAATCTAAGATTCAAATACGAATATGTAAACAAACGTATAACTTTGTTTAAATTCTCATTTAGAGCTGGTTAGCATACCACGTGATTGGCGGCACATCGTATACGCGAGAGTAGGCAAATTCTCCTTATATGCCCCATATGCCCTATATGCCTTATATGTTCGCTTTATGATTGTCGTCTATAGATGTGCTAAAATGAATTTTCCGGAAATCGCTAGAACACATCAAATCAAAAAAGTATACTGTCTAATTTGTAAAAACAACTTCCATCTTCAACATACATATTCATGAGAAACTGGTAGATTTTTCTCCATCACCGAATGTTTAAAGAAAGAAGTAAAATCTAAGGCAACTCATACTTTTCAAAAAGATGATGTTCCCATCTGACTATTTGTTATAGGACAATCGGTTCTCGGAATCGAAAAATTTGTTCGATTCATCGAATGTAACTAGAACCCAAGTATTGATCATTGGTGCTGGTTTATCGGGCTTAGAAGCCGCTCGTTTATTGCGAGAAAATGGAGTAAAAACTATTGTAATTGAAGGACGAAATCGTACCGGTGGCCGAATATTTTCTCTTCGCACGAAGAATGGCCACATGATTGATTTAGGAGGAGCATGGATTCACGGTATAAATGGATCGATTCCAGGCGGGGATCTAACAAATCCTATATGGGAAATTGCTCGAGCAGCTAAAATTCCCACGAGAAGCACACCTGTAGATGATTTGCTTGCTTTCTATCCTGCCAATCAGAAGCCATCAAATGTTGAAGAGTGGTTCGAAGATTTTGTGGACTATGTTCGAGAAGAAACTAAAATGGCCACAGACGATGCATCTTTCGAGTACTATGCTAACATATTTGCCAATATGAGGAATTTCACTGTGCAAGAACGATATGCCTTTTACAGTATTTTGCATACACTGATCGAAGGTAACGAAGCAACTGAACTTGACAAAATAGGCGCCAAAAATTACATGGATATTACTGGATTACACTATGGCGAAGAACATGTATTTCATGAAACTGGTTTCAAAGCAATAATTGACTATTTGACTAAAGATGTGAAAAGTGGCGATATTCGATTGGAACAAGTCGTAACTCGTATTAGTTACAATCAAGAATTAGCCGAAGTACTAACTGCAAATGGACATGTGTATCAAGCAGATTTTATTCTATTAACAGTACCATTGGGAGTGTTAAAAGCTAGAAAAATTGAATTTAGTCCTCCTCTTCCTGAATGGAAATTGAATGCCATTGATCGATTAGGATATGGAATCTTAGATAAAGCTATTTTATTATGGGACAAAGCATGGTGGGACTCTACCAATTACTATTTTATGCGTGTCTCATCGACACCAAAATTATTCGGTTCATGGGTTAACGCCAATAAATGGCACGATCGACCAGCTCTATTTTGTTTTTACTTTGGCGAGGAGGCTTATAAAATGGAGACCACACTTTCCGACGGACAAGTCGTAACAGCAGTACGAAATGTTCTACAGGAAATGTTTCCAAATGTAACTATTCCCATGCCAATTGATAGCTACATAACACGTTGGGCACAAGATCCATTTTCTTATGGTTCATACTCTCATATTTCTGTGAATCAGACACATGCAGATATGATACATATGAGTGAGCCGGTAAGTAATCAACTTCTTTTTGCAGGCGAGGCTACAGCTACCCAGTATTATGGATTTTCTCATGGTGCATTTCTAAGTGGGCGTCGAGAAGCGACTCGATTACTATATGTTTATGGTTTACTACCGGACCAGACTGTACCAACTTCTCGATCATCAGCAATTAGCTCATTTCATATGATGGTGATCATCAGCTTCATCTGTTTGCAATTAGTACTGTATTAAACGAGCTCATTGCTTTGCATTCTTTCAAGTTCAAGAAAAACAATAATAAATCTTTTCCTTTCTTTTTCTAGATTCGAAAGTTTTAATGATTCAATCGCAATTTTCACTACAATAGAATTTTGAACATACATTACATTGAAAGCGAAATCTAGGCATGGGGATGTGGGTGTGCGTGTGCGCGAGGTCCATGAAACAATACCCACGTCCTTTCAATAAATTTAAGAGTCTATGTCTATTCGAAGCTTTTGAACTCGATGATTATACAAATCAACCACATAGACGTTTCCATATCGATCGAAGGATAAACCAAAAGACCAGTTGAATTTATTTGATTGTTCACTTCGACCGTTACTACCAACAATAGTATGACCTTGCCTAGTTCCATGAGACCATCGCATGAGCTGTTGATTTCCTCCATCTGGTACATAGACAGCACCCATTTGATCGACAACAGTTCCATGCGGAAACGATAATTGTGTTAGATCGTTTCCTTTGCCTTGACCACCGGCGACAAGGATTCCTTCTTTAACATCTTTCACTCGATTGGAAGAATTGAAAATAAACACTCTAATTGCTTCTTGAAAATTTTTGCTTAATTTTATCCAAAATTATGATCAAGACTTTAAAAATCATTTGAATACTCTTCACTTACTATAGAAGAACTCCATATAATCTCGACCAAAGAAAAATCGATTTCTACTATTCATTTTAGCATTTTATTGAGATTTGTTTTTGTCAAAACTTCATACTATAAAGTTTAATGAACTGAAAAACAATACGGGCAAACATGAAGGTTTACTTTATTGAAGTACTTTTTCTACGAACAAGAAACCTTAGAAGGCATGGAAGGCGAGAAAACAGTTATTCTTATTGCATTGCTTGTGAGTAGTCCTTTTTTTTCGCTTTTCTCTATAGAAATATCTTTCGCTTTAATCGAAATCATATACATATGATTAATGATAGCATCCATGAAAAAAAATTCGAGAACATATACGTTTCAACGCAAGGTTTTTAAAAAACAACGCTATTTTGGCGTTTAAACCCAAAATATTAAGGAAAGAAGGTGTTCTTCGTGTTGATTAATTTTTCAACAGGATTTTTCATTTGAAACGCGTTTTAATAAAAGTCATTTAAATGCGTTCGGAAATACGTTGCAACAGTGTTTTTTAACGAAAAGTAACTCTTTTAAATTACTTCAAAGTGTTAAATAAAAGAATATTAGTATTTTAGGCGTCACTTCTTTTTTTGAATATTTAGAGCTAAAGTTTAATTTGTATAGACTTGCTGCTCAAACAAAAATGTATTAAAAAAGAATGAATATACACTATTTGTTGATTTTACTATACTTTGTTTAGATAATAGCTTAGTTCTCTTCTTCTCTTTCTTGTCAGCTTGAATACTTATATAGATATACTATCTAGAAGTTTTTGTCAGCATTTTATCTAGTGATGAATCAAATAAAAAGGCCACTAAATACCTCGATTATACTGAAAGTCAAAATATTCATATAGTTAAAAACAAAAGAATTTAAAACTATCATTATTTATTATCAAAAAATATTTAAGGGAGGGAGCAATTTACATTTATAAAAATTGATTTGATCCAAATAATAATTTTTAAAAAATATTTTATTTTGAATGATTTTTAATTTCTTTTGAAAGTAACCTCTCATAATTTAGATTGATTTTATACTTAAATTAATGTAAATTGATATTAAAAAGAAATTGAAAAGAAAATGCTAAACCCAGAAACTATTGGAATTAGTTCTAGATATATAATAATAGACTTCATAGGGAATTTGAATTTGCGGCAAATGCAAAATGTTTATACCGCTATCAGTGGCGTAGCCAGGATTTTTTAAGTAGATGGCAATTTACCAGCGAACTTGTTTTTATTGGGTGGCAATAGTGGGCAATTAAAAACTCTAGTTAGCAATAACTTTTTTTTTAAATATCAGCATTACAGAAGCCGTTATTTACTGGAAGAGAAATTAGTCATCCTGCATTAATAGATAAATTCACTGATTTTTTCCCCATATTTCGGAATGTATTCTTCAATTTCATACATTTGAATATTTTATTTGAAAAGTCATAAACAAATATCAATACCCAAGCAGACAAACTTTGTCGAAAACGCGCTTAAACGCACAGAAAAAAGTCAAAAATCGAGAAAAAGTGGGCGTGCTTGGAAGACAATCGGGGTGTCCGACCGTGAGCGAAGAACGCCTATTTTTCGCCCTTTTTATACGTTTTAACGCGATTCCAGTCAAATAATGCTTGTAAATGCATTCAAAAAAACAAAAACTTGTCATTTTTTTATTATACTCAAGAAACATAATTATGATCTCGGCACGGATAACGACTACGAAAAACACGACCACTTTTTGTGGTTTTCTAATGCATTTACACGCGTTATTTGACTGGAAACACCTTAAAACGTATAAAAAGGGCGAAAAATAGGCGTTTTTCGCTCACAGTAGGGAACCCCGATTGTCATGCAAACACGCCCCCTTTTTCTTGATTTTTGACTTTTTTCTGTGCGTTTAAGCGCGTTTTCGGCAATGTTTGTCTGCTTGGATAGAACAAGAAATAGCATAAATAAGCATAAACAGAAGAAAAAATAGTATAATGAACATTAATAAAAAAAACAAATAATATCAATGAATTATTATTGTGATCATTCCTTGACTGGAAGAGATTGCAAATTGATTTTTTAAATCACTTGATTAAATCTCATCAAAAGAAAATGTGTTGAAATAAAACACTCCTTACATCTTTAAATGTACACAGGTTTTAATATTTTTAACAATGGGCAATTACCCACATTAAAAAAAAATTAGGTGGCAATAAAATTTGGTTTGGGTGGCAATTGCCCAATTGCTAACCTGCTGGCTACGCCACTGACCGCTATACCACTACAGTTTTTATTTTGTCAAAAATAGAGTTGATTTTAATGAATTCGATTTTGTCGCAAATTCATATTTCCCATCATATGTAATAATATTGATATGGAAAAGGCAGAGAGATTATTTCGAAACTTCGGTAAGTGCCGAATAAAATACAAAATTTCTTATATTCACTAAGTATAGACGTGTAATTACCCTAATGTTATCTGTAAGTACGACGCAACTTCATCAAGTAAGTCGATTAAAATGCTCAAAGTTCGAATCTATTCATCGTCGCATCGTAAAATATTCTCAATGGTTTAAACGTGTTTATCGAAAAAGACGAGGTGTTGCAACTGAGGAAAAACGCAATTTACAGAAAGCATTATAGGTTTGCTTTTTGCGTTTTTATTTATCAAAAACCAGTTGAAACGCGTTTCATGAAACACGCAAATGTTCTAGCAAAATCATGCTCAAAAAAAAGAACGCGTGCAAATGCACATTTTTTTTAAATTTTTTTTCATGGGCAGTACATTAACCGCATCCTTAAGATTGCTGCATAGCGAAAGGACGAGAATAAAAATCTAAAATGAACATATTGAAGGTTGGTTGATCATTTTCTCTTTCGTCATATTCAGCGAAGCACATCAACGTATTATATTCATCATTATTTGAGCATATATTAGAAGCAGCAAACGTTACGACAATACGTAATTCAATGGTGAAAGTCAACGTTATATATTGCCGTGGGTGAGGTTACTGGAGCAAGTTTCAAAAGTTCAGCTATGAATTAAAGAAAACTTGCTCCAATAAGAAAGCAATCGACATTGTAATACAGAATAAATCTGCTTCTTTCGAGCTTTTGTTTTATATATATATGTTCTAGACTGGTATGCCAACACTAATGCAATCAGGAATGTTCGAAGTGTTTGTAGATGGAAAATTGATCCATTCAAAGAATGTAAATTATAATTTTATTTGCTTTCGAACTCATTTATTTTTTTACTTTTGAAGGCTGGTCAAGGCTTTCCGGATACTGTGGATAAAATAAGATGGATTTATAAGGCTATACAAGAAGCTAAATAAATCATTTATCATTAATCAATGTCAGTAATTTGAAAGCAGTGTTGGTAAATAACTTTTTAAACTGTTATGAATAATTTAATTTTAATGTTTTTATTCAATCGATAGACTGTGATCTTGCAATGATTGAGTGCAGCTATTGGCTTATCGTCGATGATGTCTTATGTGATAAAGCTACTACAAAGTCCATAAGGCTGATTGAGTCATATATGGTAGTTTCACGTCAATCATAGCACAACATCACAATCGTACTTGGGACTTGATTTTTTTTGTTGTTTTGCTGTTGAATGATTTATCAGATGACGCAGAATAAATTGTGTTCTTAGTATTTGCGATTTTTTTCCTTCAATATTCTTTTTCAATGAAAACAGAATGCTTGAAATGCTGCGCAAAAATATACGTTTTAAATATTTTTTTTAATTTTATCAATCATCGAGTTTTTGACAAAGCTTTCGGTATCGAAAATTAAAATTAACAAAAACTAAATTTGTTGGAAATATGAATACTTTTTGTCTACTTACCATTACATAATTTTCAGCGTTGTTACATTCATAGATTGAACTGATTTTTTTTGTCATTCATCATCAGTGTTGAGTTGACAAGGAATGAAGTCAACTAGGATCATTAATAAATTTAAACAGACAGCGAAATACATCATATAATCATTGACATAAAAGTACTTAATCTTGACTGTTTATAAATTGCTGAAAATACTTTCTATGTCTCTCTAGAAATGTTTACATGCATCGTAATTATCAACTTAGATAGGTAACAACTATACAATGTTTAATTAATCCTCGTCGGATATGTATTTATGATTTTTTTTTCTAAAATCTAAATGCTTAAAAAGAAAATTAAAGCATAAAAATGGTTCTATTGCGTTTAGATGATAATATAAAGGAAATAAAAAGACATAGCATGACTAAAGTCACATAAAGCATCCATAATATAGCGAAACATAGTAGCATATCGTTTTTCAAAATAAAAAAAAATAATTTATTGACGTGTCTTCAATTCTTCTCCGTCATATTTTATTTTTAGTAATCCAGCAGGACTTGTATTTGGTTCTTGTAAAGCATACCAAGCTACGCTCGACTTCTCACCATCAAGATTTGACAGATCAATTTCAACCTATGAATAATATTTAAAAATAAGTTTCTTTTTTTTCTTCACAACTTTTGTTACACATACTTCTCCCATATAAGTTTGTTCTTGTGCAAATAAAGGTGAATTATTTTTCACACTTATATGTAAATGCTGTCGATGTATATCAACCAGCGATGCTGACCATTCAAATCTGTACAGATTAAAACAACAATCGAAAAGAAAAAAGAAACCAAGCGTTTTCATACAAATCATCATAAACTGGATTGATTGTATCATGAATAGATTTAGTTTTCTTTTTATCTTTCTTAAAATCTGGGAGTAGATTCACACGTACATATGGATCCGGTAAATTCTGACTATGAACATTAGTAAGATTTCTAGAAAAATAAATAACAAATAAATAAATAAATAATCAAGAAAATTTTCTATTACTTACTTGCATGCGCATACAGTCACCGATAAAGATTTTCGATTAGGAGCATATTGAATACCAAGTTTGATTTGGCCATGGGGTGTTGATCTGAATAGAAAAATTATGATGTAAAGGAATCCAGTGAAGTTTAAGGATTTAAATTACTGAAGATCAGGATCATTAGAAACCAAATAAGTTTTGCTGTTTGATGATGTTGACGAAACTTTTCCCGATTGAACTATTTGTGAAACAGGCGATGCAACCTATGAATAATAACGGAATTGCTCATTTGAATCTGAGATACATTTTCAGTAATGAGAAATTATTTGGAAAAACTGTCTTTTAGATTTCTTCTAAAATTATGATCATGCTTCTATTACTTTTTGATGGTTTTAATAAATTTAATTTAATAGAAACATGTGCGCAGTAAATATTAGTTGATGTTTGACTTCCTATAATAATATTCACTAACATCGAGAGTAAACTGTAGCGTTCTTTTATATTAAGACATGGTAAAAACTAATTCCATCGAAATTCTTAATGATTGTAACTATCTATGGAACTATTGTTTTAGGTAGTCAACTAAAAATTCAATGCGAAATAAGCTAAGCATTATCTTAATGTATGTGCAATTCTAAAGACGAATTCTAATATTGACTTATTTACTTGTTGTAAGTTTGAAGTAGTTGCTTGTGTTGAAGTTTTATCTCCATGTAATACTTGATTTAACGAGTCTTTTGAAGCACTTTGCTGTGCGTTTGCTGTTGTATTACTGTCAACTGATCTAAAACTATTCGAGGGTGATATTTGATTTAATGAACTGGAATGACCAGGAAATAGAATCTAGAGGTGAGAAAAAAAGAAGATAAATATTGAAAAATTTCATATTGACCTTAACTTACATGAAGCGATAAACGAATAACTATAGTAACATTATCCAAAGGTTCAGATGAACTTCTCAATGGAAACGCTTGAGTGTCAATTGTCATTGAATCCGTATCAAATATTTGTTTAATTGGTAATTGAAAAAAGCCGATTATATCATTATTTGAACGTGCATCGCATACGTCAATAGTTAGTTGTTGTTGAACTGGATTTGCGCATAAGATTTGTGATATGTGTTCAAATGAAGGATTAGTTTGACTTTCAAATGTTTGTGTTTTGCGCTCAACTGCATCGACTTTAATTCGACAAAATGGATTTGGTTCTCGATGAGTTTTTTTCGAAGTCTAAATAGACGGTAGAATAAGAATTTCAATGGAAACTTCATAGCTAGCTTAATTCCTACAGGAAGATTAGTACATCGATCGATGTAAATAACAAGAAGAGCTTTCGATAATGCTCCATATTTAATCATTTTATTATTTGTTTGTTCAATCTAAATTTAAAAACAAAATTAATAAAATCAACAAAAACAATAGTTTATTATTTACAATATCAAGAGCAGATTTTTGCGTACTCAATGAAAAATATTGAAGGCAAACATTAATTGAACCTTTTTTAACATCTTTTAATGTTAACCACTAAAAATAATCGAGTTAAATAATTAAAAATGTGTATAAAAATAATTTTCATTTACTGTATCAACTGCTTCTTTATCAGTCAATGTATTGATTGGAAATTCAGCCCTATAAAAAAAGACAGAATTATATATAATTATATGCAAGTTTCATCGCTTCAGAACGACGTTTCGTTTTTATTCTCATTTATAACCACCGGGAGGTCTAAGCTAAAACAACGGAAATGACGACTCGTCTTTTCGCATATTTCGATCGTAGTTCTCTGGTGCACAATCTATGCCGATGCTAATTTGCACAAATGATTTACCTTCCAAGAAAGTCATCTTTACCCGGATCTTCATCATATACTTCTAATACCACCGAATCACTTTCATATTGTTCAACAGCGAATTCAAAAACCTAAATAAACTATGCAAATTTGACTTCATAAATAATGCATGCATACTTCATTCCATTGTGGTTCTGTTGTATTATTAATTGTTTTTGTTTTATATTCTATATTACCTTGAGCTATAAATATAAACCAAGAAAATCGTCTAGAAAATATTCTAAATCAATAAAATTTTACCTTTAACTTTAACAAACGGATCACTTTTTCCTTTACCCAGAAGTGTTATATCAGCTTTTATAAGTTCTTTCGCTTGAATAACAATAACTCGAACAACACCCTAATGAAAATTCTAAAACATTAAACCTTAAATTTACTAGTGAATAATTACTTGAGGGTTTGACCATCGTAAATGTCCAATTTGTATGTCGGTTACTAAAGGAAACACTTGTCGATTAGGTAAAACCATCATTGATGCAACAATATCGTTTATTTGTACAAGCATCAAATCGCTAATGAAAATAGCAAATATACATTTTCCGATATATTCAGTTATTTGTTCTTACTTCAAGCCAGGTATATCTACTAATGTGCCAGCATCTGTTAATTTAAAATCAATGCTCTAAAAATCACTTCAACGTATTTAAATTCATAAAATTAAATCACTTTTCTTACCGGTTTTCGAAGGAAAAAATAAGTAACTGCACCAACTAAGGGTATTGTATTAATTAAGGGACTTAGAATAATTCTCAAATCACCGACAAATTGTATATCTTTAATACCACAAACAATTCCTTTTACTTTCGATTTAATACGTGCATCGCCGGCGTAACTAAATAAATGATGTTATATTTATAAAAAAAAAGATCAGATTTGAACATACAAAACTTCAATATCCATCATTATTTGATCACGAACATTATCAGTATAAACTTTAATACCTCCGATTCGTGGTGGCTAAATTTAAAAGAAAGATATTAGAGAAATACGCAATAGAATACTTCATGACGTACAATATCTCCAAGATCAAGTTTTTGAAAATTAAAATCGGCTAAAGCAGGCGAAGTTCCTCGTATCATAGGAATTATAATATCATGAAAAATAGCTTTATCAAGATATTTATTTGCATACGGCCAAGCTTGTTTTATTATTCGATTTAACCACTCAGCACGTTCAACGTCGGGAAAGAAAACCTGAAAATTAAATGTATAAATATTTCGACGAGAAAATTATTTTCCTAAATACCCATGATGGTAATTCATCTAAACGAGCTTTTATATATTGTTCTTCGTTATTATTGATTTCATTAAGCATTTTATGTCGTTCTTTAAATAATGCCCGTTGACGTTGACGAAATAAATATATCAATACGACAAGTAAAATCCATGAAACACTCAAATGAAAATAGCCTACAAAAAAAACAAGAGATTATCTCAATAGGATTTTAAAATCTATAAATAATCTGATACAGAAGGTATTTCATATCAAATATTTCATCTTTCTTTTCTAGGTTTGAAATTAGATTAGACTATTTGATTCCCATGAGATTCGAACAAATTATATAGGTCACTCAGTGCACAAATGTCATCGATTATTATTCTTATCCTTTCTTTACATATACACGCGTAGGATTACATTATGATCCATCATTACCATAAAATTCATGGCAAACAACTTTTCCAAGAATTCAATACAAATTCATTAATTATTTCTCGGAAATAAAAAGTTCACAACTTGCTGCTCCGTCAGCAATATTCAAAGTTTGAAGTTGACGACAATTACAAGCGAATCGAATTTCTAGCTAATAGTACTGGATGATCTATAGAAAAAAGTCTTACCAAGTATCCAAACAATAACAACAAGTCCAACGATTTCAAGATATCTTTTCAAAAGACTGATCAAATCAGCTTCTGTTGATCCCAAGCCTATTTTCGCTTGAGGGATTTGAAGTTTACGAAAACTGTTTGATTCATTAGACGTGGTTGATGGTGTTGGCTCTGAATTTGTGTTGGGCGTATCACTAACTAACTTCTTTTGTAAATTCGATACGAAACTATCCATGATATAAAATATCTAAAATAAATTTAGAAAAAACAAAAGTATAATTTAAACATGAAATATTAAGGTTGAAAATTTCGTTATATTCGAAGCAAAAACCTTTCAAACTTAATCACTCAAATTATTTCGCACTCGAAAACTCTACACAAGTGCTTCCATGATCGAATTCAAAAATAAAATTCACTAAAAACGACTGATTTCATGTTATCTGCAATCACAAGTACGCCGATTGACGTGTTTCGATTAGGTATAAAATTATTCGCTGCATGTAGCTAAAACAGAATTACGATCGATGTGACTAGAAAAATGAATCTACTCAGTTGTGGAATAAAATGAAGAAACTATCCTATTATTGCCGGCACGAACATATGTAACTCAAAACTAGAGAATGCTTTTCTGACGTTCTAGAAAGAAAAAAAAAGTATCTCAGAACAAGAAAAAAGTATGTCGGGTCTCATACATTATTATATTCTATTATATCGAAAAACACGCAGGGGTCTACTTAGTAATAGTAAGAGAGTCTCTGATAGAGAAGCATAGAAGAAAAACATTGCAGAAAGAAAGAAAGAAAAAATGCCTTGGGTTGACTTTTACATCGCTGTATTGGAGCTTTTATATGCGCATTTACAATTTGGCTATGCATGTACAACGTATAACCCGTGTTCTGTTTATGATTTATGATGATAGCGCTTTGACTACTAGTAAAACAAACAACTAATTAGATCATAGATCGATAACGATGCAAAATTATTTCTATTTTCGCTTCCTCATTATTACCGTCGGCATGATAGATTTCGTCAAATAATATTAAAAAAAAAGCAAAACATGCTAAAATCATGTCTTCTTGAATAAAAAATTGATTTTTTAAATTTAAGCTAACATTTATTTGTATGAAACATGAACATCGATGAAATAAACAACTAGTTAGTAATTCATGAGTTGATTTCGCAGATGGCGTAGATGAGTATCTATGGAATTTCCTTGATAAGTGCGTGCGCCATGTTTATTTTTCTATGCATTATTATTCAATGAAGAACAGATGCGTTTGTGGGTAGACCAACGTAGACGCTGACATGATTCATTACAATAGTACACCTGAAAGGCACAGAAATTATTAATAAAAATCGATCTGTTCAACTAGTTTAGAATACAAACCGATTTGCATGCAGTGCAACGACGACTGGCATTTAGTTGACTACACGCATCACATCGATTGGATACTTCCTCTCCCAAAGTACGTCCATTGAGAGTTGTAGTTAAGACAGATAGAGCGGACGGATTTTGACCCTGAAAATGTACGAAACTATTTGGCATCTGTAATTATTTGCAATTATACAAATAAATATCAAACGTATCTGATCGATTATTTTCGTATGCACCAGAGAGTAATAACGAAGCATTTATTTATCAAAAAATATAATATAGATAAAAAATAAAAGCTCTATTTATACACAGGGTGCTGTGTCTGTCTTAAAAACAGCAACATTATAAGCGCCATATTTTTTTATTAGTAAACTTACCAATACAACTGAAGCGATAAGTCTGACGAGCTGCTGAAGAAGTGGGCATTGTTTAAATGGAAAATCACGAATAGTTTCTCGAATAAATTTTTCTTCAAACATTCGAAAATCATCATTTTCAGTTCCATGTGCAAATCTATAGAAATTGATAGAGAATGCAATCGAATAGGCTTTTTTTGCCAACTCACTTTTTACACAAATCACCACAGACTTTGTTAATATCATCTGAATTTTTCTCTAATATAGCATCAATGAATGTTTTTATGTAATGTGATTTTATTGCAAGTATATCATTGGGTTCAGTGGTATGATATGGATCTAATGATCGTTCAATTATAAATGACAATGTATTGGAAATTCGTTTGAGATTTGATTTTGGTTGATATAATTCCGGATATTTACAAACAATATTGAGCAACTAAATTATAGAATTTTCTTGAACATTCAACGAATATTATTTTGTTGTTTATTTCAAGAGTTTAGAATTCGTCATCATCTCAAACTATTTATATCAACAAAAGAGCAAAGAGAAATTGTGAAACCATCAAATTTCTTCAATAAACACAACTATGTGATACTCTCATTATTCGTTAGGGTCAAAACCAATTTGTTTCGGAGTGTCCTACATACATGAACTGGATTGAAATTCGTTGTAATAAGTAAAAGTTGAAATCCTTGTACACACGATTCCGGTAATTTGCTTTCTGCTTCTTGACCTGTAAATAATTTATCATATTTCTTCTTACGTGAATTTGATTGATTTATTCATTCAACCAACAAAAGTTATTAATAGGAAAATCTCACCTTGTGGTGTCGTATAATATTTAAGGTCTTCGAGTGTAACATAATTATTTATTGTATCAACGCAATGCTTTTGCCCGGTAAATGCAGCTAATTGAGCAGCTGTTCGGCCGATACGATTTATTTGATGAGATTTCGCACCTGCTTCAAGTAGAATACGAATAACTTCACTATTACCTTCAAAGAAAAATAATCAATTGATCTAAAAGTTTAACAAAAAAACAAAATTACCTGAAAGAGCACCAAACATAAGAGCCGTATAACCCTGATCATGTTCATGATCATTGACATCAGCGCCATGTGCTAATAGTAGCGAACAAATTTTCGTATGTCCTTTAAAGGCTGCATGTTGTAATGGTGTCATACCATGCTTTAGAAATTAGAAGACAAAAAATATTTCTAATAAAAACAAACTATTCTATATGTATATATATATATATATAAACCTCGTCATGAACATCAACAGGTACATGAGCTTTAAGTAGACGTTCCACATCTTCGAAGCTACCTGAATAGATAGATAAGAATTTTAAAAAAAACTTAGAAAAAAAAAGATTAAATATGAACCTTCTGTCGTATAATCAATGATGGTTTTTTCGCCACTATCAAGTGCCATGTTGGAAAGTAAGAAATGAAACTTTTCCTGCGGATATAAACTGACGATCTGGAATGAAAAAATAAATAAGGAAGAAATAGATTGTCAAAGTAGAAGATGATTCAAAAGAGGTCAGAAGTAGACAATGATATGACTAATCTTTGCACAGCTATAATGTGTCTGTTCAGACATGAATGCTATCCTAGATGGCAAAATTTTGAGATAAACATTTTATTGAACTTTAAAAATTAAATAAACTAGAATTTTCTAGTTGAACCCAAGCGAATAAAAAAAAAGAAAATTTCTATTTCAAATATCTCTTCATAAAAGAACATATTCAGTGTAAACTTTGTGCTTTTTTAAAAAGCCATGATCAAATAACCTTTTCTTTTATCCGCTGATAGACTCCATATTGTCCTTCTCGGTTTCTATATCACAATAAAACGATTGATTTTTAATTTTTATATTACTCTCATATAGATGAAAGTCGAATTAATCACGACGAAAAATCATCACAAACACTTTCTATGATTAACGTCTATGGTCGTTGTGAATTCTAACAGATAAAATTGATATAACAACCAAGTTCTCGCTGTGTTTTGTGTTTTTTTCATTTATTATTTCGGAGGCGTACAACGAAATCACACATCACTATTCATCGATACTTTAGATTGCCCGTCGTGAGAAGGTTGATAACTGCGCAGAATTTATTAATCTTATCAAGCTACTGTGCTAAGTATACTCGCAACACATACACAAAAAGACATGGGCTATTAAAAAATGTTTCAAAATATATATTATTACAATAAAACTCATTGAACTCAAGGTAAAACCCAAATTGTCAACAAGTGTCTGCATACACTTTAAAATGATCTATTTATATCAATATTGATCTGGCATAATTGACAGATAGCATCAGCATGGTCTATCAACCTTCAATGGAGCGAATGTGTAAGATAGACAATTATATTTAATATTGTTTACTAATAGCAGTCTGACAGACTTAGCTTAGATTTACTCGAACTCCAGACTGTATTGTTAACATTCTTTATCATTTCTGAATTATACTTCATAGTGTTTGTTTCAGAGGAAATTTCTCTCTCTCTCTCTCTATGATGATCTAATATTGCAAACAATACACCGAATATCTGATGCACTTAATATTTCAAGTAATACTATAATTATATATTTCGATAAGATCTATGAAATACGGTTAGTGACAATGCGCTTAGATCTTTTTCATCCTCCTACTCTTAGTGCACTTTTCTTTCTCACTTTTCCTAGTTGTCAATATATATATAAGTACAGCTGTACAAAAAAAATAATGGATGCAAAACAGAAACACATTCATCCAGTTTTTACTCAAATCGATTGCTAATTGTTTCGTTGTGTTCTGCATACGTTCCAGAAATGAATTCGACAAACTGGTTTCGATATTTATTTTTTTCTTGTTCTGTCGCTATCACCTTTTTTTATGTATAGACGACAATATCAACAAGAGAATACACATCGACGCAAAAATTTTGATATTATCGTACCGCAAAATAGCATAACAAGCAACCCTAATAATAAATTTATTATCAAAATAATATTTGAAGGACGATCGTAATAGGTTTTTAATATTTATCTAAATAGGGATCAATTTGCTTCAAATTTGATAAAGAATTCAAACGCGTTGTGCATTATACTTCAAACCACTTGTACATAAATTGTTCCTATTCATCGAAAATACAAAAGAATATGATATATGCAGTTTCTAACCAACCAAGTATATCACAATCAAGGACACCAAGCTATATATAAACGAGAATCCGACCTATTTTTTCTGTGCTTACAATCAATTAAAAAAACAGTCAAGGTTTGTGTAAAAATAAACTAGTAAAATTATAACTTCTTGTTGCTTTTCACAGTAAAAAAGAAAAGATAAACTCCATAATAGATTCGTAGACGTCTATTTTTTCTCAGATAAAGTTTTTGTTTGTGTACGGATTGATGATAATGGATGATGATAATTTAGATAGTTGAGGATCTTCAGCAAAATTAAGTATTCTTTCATAAAGAGCAACTGTTTCAGGCGAGAGGCCAGCATTTAAAAGGCGATTTTCTAATGCGACATCATGTTTTGTCACTAGATTTTGATTGTATCTTGGATTTGAAAATGGTAAATTAATATGTAAAGGAATGCGAGAATATTTTGATGATTGACGTGGAATATCGTTGACCAAATTCAGTGTTAAATTGGACCATTTCGTATTCGGTTTGATGCCTAATGAAACATTCTGTCCTGAATTATCGGCAATATTTAATAGACGCGGTAAAGTCAGAGTATTATCTTTATAATTTATAGTTGCTACTGATATTGGAAATGATTGTTTTTGATTATTTGAAGAATTCTAAAATAAATAAATAAATAAAAGGAACGTAGTCGATAATTGTTAATTAACTTACTATTTGTATCAAAGGATTATTATTTGCTTTTGTGTCGGATACTTTTTGTTTTAGTAACATTGGATCGTAAGTATTTTGTGCAACAAGTGAATTAAATTTTTTTGGAGGTTGTTGAAGTGATATTTTTGTTAGATTTAATGATGGTAGCGTTGTTTGTTTTTGTTGAGCAAGTTGACTATTTGATGAGGCTGGCAGTGCTGGAGAACTAGTAGGTCTTCGAATGGCATTCGTTGTTAGCTGTGGTTGATTAGGATTTGTTTGATCATTAAAACGTGCCAATCTAGTAAAAGGACGAAAAGCACTATCGTTTCTACTTCCTGGTAATAATAATGTCTGCTGTCGATTTGTAGGATTCACTATTTTATTTGGAAGTTGTTTAGCAGAAGAATTGCTATTTGGAAGATTATAATTCGAAGTTGAATTTTGTTTAATCTCATCGTTAATCACAGTGACTTTTAAAGGTGAGTTGAGCCGTTTTTGACGTGGAATAGAGAATGCTTGCGTCGATGTGCCAAACGATTCATTAATAGTAGGCAACGATGTTTGCGATGAAATTGAACTGGGTCGATGGTTAACAATGTTTTGCGACTGCTGAAAATGAATAACCGGAGAGTGAAGACGTAGCGTAGTGGTACTCGGAACTCTTTGCACAGATGGACTTGTTAATTTTTCTAAGAAATCTAATAATAAACAAAATTCGACATCTCGATATTTCGAATCTATTATGTTTACCTTGACGATTACTTTGTATCGATTTATTAGTATTGATGGACGATTTCGATGGTGAATGAGCTAATGTTAATATTTCGGAATCGTCCGATGATGAAGATATTGTTGGTGTTATTCCAGCTTGATTTAAATCATCAGCTGTAATAATTGTTATAACTAATGGAGCTTTTGATTGAAGATGTTTCTTAGGGAAATTTGTACTTCGTATTTGGTGATAATTGGAATTTGAAATTTTATTTAATGATAAATTATCAGGAGAAGAATCCAATAATTGTTTTCTATTGATTATCATGGGGAATGCCGCTGATGAATGTATAAAACGTTTTGATCCATCTCGATATCGAACTTCAATAGGAGGTTTTGCTTGATTGCCGTTTATGCGCTGTCGTTGAATATCAATTGAAGGTGTTGAACGAGAACTAATGAGACAGTTAATAGTCTCATTTTTAGATGCATGATTATATAATTTATGTTCAAAATCAGTATTTGATGCAACAAAACTTCCTGACTCCTCATAAATTGTTTCCAGAGGAGCAGTAGGTTGATTTCGTAATAACATAATTATAAAATTTTCTATTGAAAAAAGTTCTTATTTCAATAGATCATCAAGAGTAAGATGTTATAGCTAATCAAAGATTTGACTGGCTCGTTTCATTTTTCCACTCTTCTTCATCTTGATAATTTTTGTTTTCAAATTCTATTCAGCATTTGAATACACTTGACCATTCATTGATCACTTTGTTGAATCGTTATAACGACAATAATCGCTTTGTCACTGCTGTCAATGTGATGCTATTGATATGAAGACTAGAATCAAATGAGGAAAAACAAAATATGTAATCATAAAAAGCAAAATGGTGAACTGAAGTAAAACGTGCGTATTTAGTGAGAAAAAGATAAGAACAAATGTTCATTCGCTTTTTTCTTCACGTTTTTTGTTCAATATATTTCATGTAAATCTAAACAAAATATTATTATAACTGATGTGAAATGCCTATACTTTCTTTCTAATAAATACTTCCCGCCGTCAACTATAACAAACAGCGAACATGATAATAAAGCGAGAGAAAGAAAAAAACGAGTCCTAGACACAAGAATACTATAATTATAACTTGTCCTTATTCACGATTTACCTTCAAATAAGTGTGAGATAGGTATATTCTGTGTTGAAAATAGGTCTCGTGCGTCTAACCACCTCCTCTCTCTCTTCTATTCTCATACACATACTATCATTGTCAGTAATATGAATGACTAGATAAATATCTATGTAACGAAACGAACATCTAGCGATATAAAGAACAATGATTTGAAGTAAACCTTCGTTAGAAATACAACGTGTGTTGCTCATTTATTCCAATCATATTGTTAGATTCAACTTAGATATAAATATAGATATGCATATAAGCAGTAGATACTTGTCAGTGACAACGCGAGAAAGCCTGTTCGTTTTCTTTATTGTTATGACAAAATTTTATGCATTTTCATGGTCGAACAAACACTAAACAGCAGCATTGACTCTTTCTTGCTTGTATGTTGCAATGATTGCACCATGAAATATGATTAAGTACATGAAATATGTAAAAAAAAAGTTGCGCATTGCTTTTAACAATATCAATTACATGTTTGCATTGAAATGTAAAAGTGACATAAGTTAACAATATTATAAGAGTAACAATATTGAGTAGAGGCCTTCTTTTTTTTCTCATGAACTCTTCCTCTTCATTATCACTTTTTTTTTATAGATCTGTCTCTTATAGTATATTTTCGAAAAAAAACAAATTTAATTAATTAGATAAATTTGATGTATTATAAATCATTGAACGCTTAGTTTCTCACTTAATTAAACATCAATGAATCGGCACTAGTGAATTTGTTCTGTTTTTCGCTATGATACGTTCCTCTTTTGAGAAAGGAAGGAAGCCAGCCTATACATTCATATTTTTTGATCCCGTAAAGAAAAATCGAACTAACGAGTCCGGAAATCGAATCAAGAAAGAAAAAACAAACAAGTAATAAAAAATACGTTATATATAGATATATAGATATATGTGAAGAATAGACGACTGTCTCAACGTATTAAAATCAATAAAAATGAATCTCGAAGTTATCTAGAATGTTTTGTCAATCAAAGCGATAATAAGTGAAACAAGCGTAAAGCAACGCTTCATAAAAAGAAAAATTTAAAGCAAAAGAACGGCCTCGATTTTTTTAAGTCACCTGTACTGTCGTGGTTCAAGAATAGAAACAACTTTCTGTCATATTTGTAGATAAGAATCTGTCTCTATTACAAAAATAATCATACGAATATCGAAAGAAAGCAAATTTGTAGACTATAATGGTAGAATGTAAAGAACCGGAATTACATTGGTGCCTGCCTATAGCCTACTAATAATGTGTTAAATAATGTCGTAATCATCATTTGACAGCTACGAAAATAATCATAAGAATGACTAGTATAGGATAAAAAGAAAGCTGAGATCAAAAAAAACGATGAATAAATACGAATATGCTCGTTCGATAAGGCATACTGTTAAAAGTGATAGTGTGCAGTTCATTTTTTAAATGCTAGGCAGATATTGAATGCGATGTAATCAGTATTAACAATTGGAGAATGAGTTTGAACGTACGCTTACGATAAGTAAAATTGATATTATCTAAATGATGTGTTTTGATTTTTGCATCCAATCGAAATAGCGCTCATGTAACGAATTGTGCCTATGTTATCTTTATAGATCAAAATATACTTTTAAATATAAATGTTTATTTCGAAGACGTCGAATAATAACTGTTTTTTTGAACTTGAACTATTGAAGTTCATCGACGGCGAAATGTCAAAGTTAATGTACTCCAAGTGATGACAGCACATCATTCGTACAGTAACCAATACATTGACTATACAACAACAAAAAGAAAAACTAATTCACCGCTTTACACACTACGGTTCATTATCGCATTAAGTTGCAAAATATAATTTGAATTCCAACATTACTTTTTTTTATTAAACTGCTTTGTGAAAGTAATCAGTTCAATTGAGATTGGCCTATGTATTTATGAATAAACGAACTCAAGTTCTTGAACTTATTTTCGTTTACTAGGACGTAAAAATACTATCGGAGTTTTACGATAAAAGAAGAGGAAGAAGTCTCACATTCCAAATGTATTGTACAATCATTGACGATCATAAGTTTGATTTCTTTTGTCAGCAAAAAATAACTGAACTGTGCATTCAATGTTATAAGATAGATTTGGTGATATCGCGATTATTTTTGATGAGTTCATCTATAATTAATGTAAATAGAGATCTGTATATGAATGTAGAGTAATTATTAATTGTCGAATGATAGAATAGGATATGATGTGAATGCAAAACAATAACGATCGATACTATAAAATTATTTAGGGATTTGTTTTCATTCTTTTCTTTTCGTCTGTATTATAGAAGAAAGTAAAGCATCCGTTCGTTTATATGTACAGAGAATGCCATGTAAGACTGTTAAACTCGGAACTTCCCAGTAGTCTGGCCTCGGATTCGTCCTATATTTCCTATATTTAAAAAAATTCTTTTTTTTTCTCCTATATTTCGGTGAATTTTCCTGTATTTCCTATAAAAATGAAACGAAGTAGAAAATTGCTAAAAACGCTCTTGTTTTAGTATAATTTTCGTGTTTTTTAAACAGATCTATTCGATAATTATTGATTCTTTTGTATTCTTAGAATTTTTTTGAAAGGGACTATTTTATTTACAATTTCTTTTCACATTATCAAACGGACTAAATGAAAATAACTGACTATTTTAAGTAAAGATATTCAAACAAAGTAAAATAGTCTTTATAAATAGTGGTGTGTGTGTTTTAAAAGCTTTTATTGTTGCCTATCATATGCAGTTACGTAAATGGTTTTGTTCAAGCGTAACGCTGTGACCTTTTTTTTGACACACTTTGTTTTTCATTATCTTGGAAATTGTGTGAGTTAGAAAGTTCGTTCAAACGTGATTTGATGCAACTTGTCATGATATGGTTTATGCCATAAAATGACCATTTTTGGATTAAGTCTCTTGGCTATAGAGAGGAGTTTTGGTTGCTTGACTGTGACATAAAAAGACGCTTTTCTTCAGGGTCACTAATAAGCTGCAGTTTCTTCTGCAACTATTTCTCCAAATG